AGAAAACTGTTGTGGTACGCTTCGTGCACTGCGCACCAACTTTTAGTTCACCATACTTAATACTTTTATATTTTCTTGGATATTTTCTAGTGTTCATGATTGAATTGAAGTTTTTAAAATGTCATGTACGTGGAAAGAAAAAGAACATAAACAATAAGAAAAAATGTTCCAAGTGTAAAAAATATACAGTACTAGTTCACAAGAGTTCCGCACGGATTACGCGTGGTTCACAATCACTTCGATCACACTTGTTCATGGAATCCCGAAAACAGCCGAATGTTGTCGTATTTTATGATGTCATCTATTGCCCCTTTTCACGCATTTTTGAAGAAAAAGAAAAAGTATTCCCTTCATGAAACTTCCTTATTAACAATTTATTAACGAATTGTGTATTTACTAATTAGTTAATTATTAATTTTTATTATAACTGTTATCACTGTTAAAGAAAAAGAAAAAATACATAAAATAATGTTTGAGTCGTTTTTTCAAGGGCTGTTAAAAAAAATACTTTTAGAAATAGCATTTTTATTGACATGGGCTTACATATGGTGGCTGTAAATACTCATATACTGTATATTATCTTATACAACTGTGTATAAAAGATTTTTTTATGATTTGGATAATAAATAATTTGAAGTAATCTATTATCTTTTTATTTGTTATTCGAGTTTTTCAATAGAAGTTGGAATAATTGAATTTATAATTTATTTTAGCAAGCCTTTTTTAGTTTATGTCATCTATCTAGTTTATGTAATTTTTTGGATTTCTAGTAATACGAGCATCCACTATTTTCCAGTGGGGAGGGAGAGAGCGCTTTGTATGCATTTACTGTCTGATTTGAGATTAAGCATTAAGTTTGTCACTTTTTTGAATTGATATACGGATCCACTATTTTCTAGTCGTCGGAGCTTTTAATGAATATATTGTCGGATTTAAAATTGTTCTTGATTTTTTGATTTCTTAGATATAAGAGTCCACTATTAAGTTGTCAAGGACGCTTTTATGAAAATAATGTCAGATTTTTAAGATATATGATACATTTATGAATATACTGATAATTCCAAGAAAACGAATAATGAAAATCATCAATATGAAAAATAATATCGTGAAATAGCATTCAGAGATGTAATAATTAAAGATTTTTATCTATTACTATTTCTTTTTTACAGATCTATAATATATGTACAAGTTCAATTCAGGTTTCATGATCTGTAGCCTAAATTTCGAATGTAAATCTGCTCCTGCTACATAACTGAACATGGTTAGGGTTATAGAAGTACTTAAATGGCTGGAAAGTTAATAGTAAACACTGACCCAAGAGATCGGTCGCCTTCGTTCTCTTTCGGATAAACCTGAACGCATTCGGGATTCCAGGAACAAGTGTGACCGAAGTGATTGTGAACCATGCGTAATCCGTGCAGAACTCTTGTGAACTAGTACCAAATATACTTATAATAAAGCCAATCTTGTAATTAAATCTATGTACATTTCATGCCATCTGCAAGATGAATCTGATTAGATGAGGGTTGAGTGGGTTTCATGACACTCAATTTTAGATAGATAGATAGAAAAATAACTTTATTCTGGGACACAGTCCCTTGAGAATAACAGAATAGAACAAAATTAATATATTACATCTGGCCAAAATAAAATCAATCGAAAAAAAGAAATAATGTAAAAAAAAAATATAAGGTAAAAATTCTATATACAAAACAAACTAAACTATATACAAAACCATTAATACTATGACAAGACACTTAAAGCTGTTTGCTCTTATAGACCAGTATACACTTTTACGAAAAAAATAAAGAATTAAAAAATAAAAATGTATCAAATTCTCTATTAAAATCAGCTCGAATGGTTAGCAACTATCTGACTGTTTTTGGGATAGGAATTGGAATAGGAGGGTTTTGAATGTGGATATGGATGGGGAATGTCGAATTTTGATAGGGAGGGAATTCCAGAGATTGACAGAGCGAACAATAAAGGAATTTTGGAATGAGGCAGATCTGTGAGAAGGCATGTAAAGGTTAGAAGGTCGAGATCTTGTGGACAGGGAATGGACTGAGGATTTGAACTGGAGAAGGTTGTAGGCGTAAGAAGGACGATGGTTGTTGATGATTTGGTAGAGGAACGTACCTAGGAAATATTGTCTTCGGAAGGAGGGGAAAAGCCACTTTAACTCAGCGTAGTGGTGAGAAACATGGGAGTATCTTGGGGCCCCGATCACAAATCTTACGCAGCTGTTCATTAGTCATTTCAGTCTATCACGGAGCTCCACAGAGAGGCCATCATATACCACACAGCTATAGTCAAAGTGGGGGAAAATGAGAGAGGAAACTAGGAGTCTACGCGTATGTTGAGGTAGGAGATGGCGGAAGCGATGGAATAGTTTGAGGGTGGAAATTGTCCGTCGAGTGATATGAGAAATATGGTGGTTCCAAAAGAGGTTTTGATCGATGAAAAATCCTAAATTTTTAACAGAGGAGTAGAAGGAGATTGGCTGATCATTAAGGTGAAGGATGGGAAAGTCTGTATAGGATCTAAGGAGGGGCTTGGAACCAATGACAATGGCCTGAGTTTTGGCAGCATTTAACCGTAATCCATTTACATTTGCCCAGGCACTGATTCGATCTAGGTCTTCTTGGATCTTGGCAAATGCCCCTAGTAACTCAGGAGGGAAAAATGATAGGTACATCTGTGAATCGTCTGCATAAAGGTGATGGGAACAATGGAGAATTGATTTAGGTAGGTCGTTAATGTAGGAGCTGAAAAGGAGAGGAGATATGCTTGAACCCTGGGCAACTCCAGAGGATAAAGAAAGGAAAGCAGATAGTGGTTGGTTGGGTATGGAGACTGCTTGGGTACGTTGTGAAAGGAAAGATTGAAACCAAGAGATGGAACTATTAGAGAAGGATAATAATTTCAGTTTGTTGAAAAGGATGGAATGGTTGATGGAATCAAAGGCTTTGGAGAAGTCGAGAAGGATAAGGATTGTTAACTTTTTATCATCTATTGCAGTTTGAATGTCGCTGGTGATTTTAATTAAGGCGGATTGTGTGGAGTAGCTGGGACGGAAACCAGATTGGAGAGGATCAAGTTGGTTGGACTTTTCGAGGAAGTTGGAGACTTGGGATTGCACCAATCTTTCTAGGGGTTTTGAGAGGTTGGAAAGAATTGAGATTGGGCGGAAATCTTCGGGTGAGGTCGGATTAGAATTTTTATTCAAAGGAAGGACAATGGCTTTTTTCCAAGATGTAGGGAATACTGAATTCTGAAGAGAGAAATTGTAGATGAAAAGAAGAACTGGGAGGATTTCAGGAAAACATAATTTTATTAATTTGAGAGGGATGCCATCGGGAATTGGTGTGGGATTTCATTACAGCGGTTAAAAGGTCTGTGGGAGAAATGTCGGAAAAATAAAAGTTATTGTCGTCAAATGGTATCTCTATAGGAAAGCCGGAACAGGAGGATAAAGGAGAGGTATTAGCAACAGATATAAAATGTGAGTTTAGATCATCAGGGGATATTGGAAAGGCTGTTGTAGGGGATCTGGAAGGATCACAAAGGGAGAGTTTACGAAGCAGTCGCCATTTTGATTTTATGTCAGGAGTTGAGGAAAGGGCTTCGTGGCAGTAGAGGGATTTCGCACGCCGGATCCTTGTTTGTGTCAAGTTGCGAAGCACCCTGAACGCTTGGTAGTCATCTGCAAGCCTAGTACGTCTGAAGCGTCTACGAGCAGCGTCGCGTCTCTTCTGCAGTTCTTTAATTTCCTGACACATCCAAGGAGCAGGCCGGTGACGAAATGTAGAGGTTTTGAGAGGGGCATGGGTATTGAGGATATTTAGGAGATTGGTAGTAAGAATATCAACCATAGAGTCGATGGAAGTGCAAGAATATATTTTATTCCAATCTAGGATGGATTTCCAGGTCAGGTAATATTTGTTCTCGTGTAAGGGAATCTAGATGGCGGAAGGTGATAGTTCGAGGCTGAATAGGAGGAGTTCGGACATTATATATTATTTGGATTACATCATGAGATGACAAAAAGGATACTGGCAGTTGGGAAGAGGAGAGGAGGTTTTGTGCAGAGTCTATAATATAGAAATCTAGCCAAGTGTCGGACCTGCTAGTATGGCGAGTGGGAGAAAAAGGAACGATAAAGAGGTGAAGGGAGAAGAATAGGTCTTCTAGATAGGATTTGTCATTGGAGTTAGATAGGAAATTGGTATTGAGGTCACCTGAGATGATTATTCTGGGATAGAGGGGAACGAAATTCAATAGGCTAGATTCAAAGGACGTGTGAAATGGAACAAGAGGAGGACGGTATACCACAGCGTAGAGGAGAGGAGAAGTATTACAAAGGATTTCAACTAATAGGTATTCAATTTGTGGGTGGTTGGAAGATGGGGATAAATCGAGGATTCGGGTCTTCAGGCTATTGTGGACAAATATGGCTACTCCATCGCCAGTCCGGCTTACCCGGTCATGACGGAAGAGGTTGTAATTAGGCAAGGAGACAGAAGAGGAGGGGATATAAGGTTTGAGCCAAGTTTCGGAGATCGCTATAATATGGTAAAAATTTTGAGTGAAATATTGCAGGAATTCGTCATAATCAAATAAAAGCGTGCCCATTGGAAGGTTAACATTATGAAAATATGAGTTAATCATATTATCGAGTCAACAATGTTAATTTTTTTTTTTTTTTGTTACATTTTTAAATCATGTTTACTAATGAAATTAAGTTGATTTGTTAAAGGCATATGATTGATAATGAAGTTATCGTGAATTACTCCATTGAATATTATAAACAAAACATACAATTAAAGAATCATTTTCTTATCTTCCACAAATTATTTATCATCAATATTCCTTATCATTCACTTTTTAGAAGAATAGATCAAACAAAGTCTTATTAATCAATCGGAAGTAAACATAAAAAAACAAAAACACGATCATACCCATAGTTATCATAATCATATTACATTAATTTAACTCACTTTCAAAGGTACTTCCTCTGCTTCCTTATCTTCAGAAGACAATTTACTGTCGTCTTCATCAACTTCCATTTTTGTAGAAGAATTTTCAGATGCTTTTGGTTCTTTCTCAACTTTTTCAGTTTCAGCTACTTCTTTGTTTTCTTTTTCATTTTGTACTTCTGGATTGTCTATAAAACATTTGAAAATGCACCAAATAAATAAATAAAAGGTTATATGTAATAAAAATAGCAAATCTGCATGTGCCATTGCTGCAATGGCCATGCCTGTGACTGTAAACTTCAGTTCTAAATATGATAACCTTATGAAAAAATATGTTTAAAAAAGCCCATTAATTAAGACTCTAGAATTAATTATATTATTGAGGCATAGAATAATAGAGTTTTATTTTTTTGCTGTTATATTTTTAAATCATGTTTACTAAAATTGCGGCCTAGTGTAAAGTTATGTATCATCTACGTGGCCCATGCAAACGTTTGGGTTGGGCAGACAAGTGTTACATAATGGAAATCTGTTAGTTTGAAAACTTAATCCTTAACTTGCATATTCAGTCACGATAAACAATATTCCTTTAAAAAAAGTAATTATAAAAAATAAAATAACATTCCACATTGTTCTAGCCAACTATTCAATTGGTAAATATGATAATATTATAACAGTAACAACATATTTGATACAAAAGCAGCTAGTTCAATCAAGAATGTAAAATTTAAAACTTTTATTTCAGGAAAACATATGAGGTCGAAATACAAATAATTTCATTCAATATGAATAACGTGAGTACTTCAAAACATATCTCGAGAGTTCAGTTTTATTTGGTACGAGCTGTATGTACCATTTTTAGCAATCTTTATAGCATTGAAGAAGAAAACGAGTCTTCTTCAATGTTTAAGATTGTGAAATCTTGCCTTTTATAAACATTGCTAAGATAGTCAACAGAATTAAAAGCCTACTGTTTTATAATATAAATAATATTTGGTTATAAGGATTGGTCATCACTTAAAAAAAAAAGCTAACATGTGTGCTTTGGATCTCACGATAGAAGTGAAAATGTCGACAAGTTGAGATTAATAATATGCAATACGCAAACAGAGCTTTCTTCTCCCTTTATATTCACTCCCTATTATTCTTTTTATCTGTCTATTATATATTCGTTTAGCCACATAATGTATGCTGATCCTTGTTTTCTTTTCCGAGATTTTGGCACTTCTTTTCTCGTTGTATTTTTACAATGCTTGGGTTCAATTTCATGTTTTCCCTCATTTTGAGACCAAATACTATCAATCAGTTCCGGTTACCTAGAAGAACTTATTGCTTCGCCCTTTCCATATTTCTTTGTGCAGAAAGAATAATCCATTCAATATTAAAATTTCCTATTTTTTTATATGGTCCAAGTTCCGAAAACAATAAAAATTAATCTTGTTATTAGTGACTAGCTAATGTACCCATCGTTGACGGGTGTATAATTAAAATTTGAGAATCTTTTTATGAGATGTATAATAAGGGGAGGAGGGTACAAATTCGATTTCATAAAATTGGGTCAGGAGGGAGGAGAGGGGTTATTTTGAATTGTTTTATGGCGGGGCTTATGGAAATGAAGGTTTCGCAATAGCCATAACAAAAACATTGTTATTCAGCTAATTGTTTAGGTACCACACAACTAAACCGACCACCACCGAACTATTAAAATTTGTTAAGTGTTTAATTTTCATTTATGATGAAGCGAGGAAATCGTGGAGTCAATTAATTAATCAAAAAGAGTTGTAGTCTCCCCATTTCTTTAAACTCTGATGAGTTTATCGCTGGTAAAATAACCAAAATAACATTGGACGTTGAATCATCTTCATCCGTGTAAAATTAGAACTTGATCTGAATATTGTAGCGAGTGGACTGAAATTTTCGAGTTTTTTTCTGATTTCCGGCTAATCCATTTGGTTAATCCTAAAAATGTATACAACATTTTTTAGGCTCAGGGAGTTGAACCGAATGATACCTTCAAAGGGAAAAAGCATTGTGTTTTACCAGTTTTATGTGAAAACGTGTTATAGATGTTCGGTATTCCGGATTTTTCTCGTTGAGTTGTAATAATTTTTTTTTATCAGTTGAGTAGTACAACTTTTAAATGTGGCTCGCGGTAGAGTAGGTTGGGATGGGAATCGAAGTAACTGCCTGACCGGGATCTCTAGACAAATTACTCAAGAATCCATAACTTTGGTTCTACTCAGTATTTGGTTTTCATTTAAAGCCTATATTTTAAGTCAATCAAACCTAAATGTAATGCCAAAATTTTAAAAGTTTACCATTAGCCATTGCCGAGCTTACCCCTGACAAAATTTTGTTGTACAATGCGGACATTCAGACAGACAAAAAATTTGTTAAAAGTGGATTTGGTGTCTGCAATGTATGAAACGGAAATATATCATAAAACGGGTTGATTCTATTCAATGTATAGATAAAAACTTTATTTTGTTTATATAGATATATGAGTTTTACTAAAAAACCCATCAATTATTCATTATATGTAGTTCAGATTTGGTATACATTATTTTAGTTTACAGGTAAAAACAGGTATTGATGACTCATTTTCGGAGAAGTATATACAATTTAAATTACCTCTAAAGATCAATCAATATACAAAACAGTGTTAAATTGCAAATGTTAAATAAAAAATTCAAGATATTCAGCGAAGTATTTTTGAAATAAGTTTTATTATTATAATTATATCATTTTTACAATTCTTAAACGAACTGAGTATAGGATAAAGGAAGTTAAATTAAAAAAATAATAATAATAAATTTTTTTTTGGCCCTTTAATTACAAACGACATTTGAATTTTAACTTGAAATTTTTTTTGTTAAAAAGGTTGACTTTACTGGTGTTTTTTATGGTCTAAGCTAATTATTTTTTCATGTTTTATTATTCTCTGATTATTCAGCTTTAATAAAAGACCAATTATGATGAAATTACGGCAAATGCTGATTTCATCAGTAACCAAAAAACCAACTAAAGTCAAAGTCGTCAATCTGGCATGTTTGGATGCCATTTTGGGGCAGTGCGTTCACTTTTTTTTGTGGGAACATTGGCAGTTACAAGAAACACAACGATATGCAATTTAGAGGGATGAGGGGGAACGGGAGAGAGGGTGGTGCACGGTAGAGGGGTCTGACCCACTGTGTATATACAATACTATGATAAAGCCAGTTCTAATAATATATGGCTGTGAGACCTGAACATTAACCAGCATCCTACGAAAAAGTATGTCGATACTTAGGTATATCAGGCCTAGACATTTTTAATCTTTGAAAAGAGTAGTCCTTTAGAACTATCGGATCCTGCGTTTTTAAACCCAAAAACATACTGTTTTCGAGATAACGCAAGGCATAGGGTTCGCATCCACACAACCTTAAGTTAATTGTAGTACTGTCATTGATTGAATACATGTCTTATTTCGTCGACTTGAGGACTCTATGATCGAAAGAGGAGTTTATATTATTTATTGATGGTGTTTTTTGATCGGCAAGCCATATCATCGTTTATTTTTCACTAAATCCCAAGATTGAGCCACCAATTTTAAAGGTTTCCTTCTCCTTCAGGCGGGCAAAATAGTAAAATCACCTCGAAAATTCAGGCAAACAAGTTAACAAATTTTATTTGCTGTGTAAAAAAATTACACACTTTTCTCTTGGTTATGCCAATGATTACATAAAAGATTACTAAATTCCCTACAAAAGGAAAAAAAAAATCATGGAAAATTGGACCATTTTTAGCAAAGATACAGCTTATTGAAATTTATAATCATGTTGGTTCCAAACGTTAATGAAGTTTTAGATTAATTTTTGTTTCCTTTGTCGATTATATTTATCGAATAGAGTAGTAAAACATAAAGTAACAATTGATTTCTTTATATTATGATATGTTGTATTATTTTATTTTATTATTAATTTGGCATTTGATCACTTAACAGTATACTGTGAGAATTTTTCACACAGGCCTACTAGTTGATAGTCATTTATTAAATGTTTGATGATATTGATAAAATATGTAATTATTTTGGACCTCAATGTTTTTAATCTTTGAAGCAATGGGAACAAAATTAACAATGAATTAAAAAGTTTAAATTTGTAATAGCTTTAATAGAAACAAATAAATATTAATATATTACTTATCATAATTAGTGAAAATGACTAATATTAAAAAAAAGTAATCAAACCAAAATTACTCATTTATTATGTTTAAAAAAATCTCATTTTTATTGGCTCACTAAGGAAGCAACTTTCCTGATACCAAGTTTAAATTACATAGAAGAAAATTTAATATTAGTCAAATTTTGATGTAGATATAATTCTAACATCCCTACAAGCTATCCACATCTTTTGTCTTTTTCAGCATGTAGAGTACAATCACAGTCTCAAGATAGGGCAATAAGATTCGTGTCTTAAAACAAGTTATCAAAGCATGTGTTCTGGGGGCTTCAGTTCGCACTGTATGCGTATTGGGAGACATCCTAGTAGAAGTAACCAGCAAAGTTTTCAAAAAAGAAATGAGTAAAGGCATAACTTTTCCTACTAATGAGGAAATAAAAGATCCACACATATCTGAAGAAGACTTACAATCAGATTCAAATGATAAAAACTTTATATTACTTGACATCACTCAACAGTTTACTTTTGTTTCTACTTTCATGGTAAGGAACTTAATATAACTTATTTCAATAATAATTTATAGCTCAATTACTCATTATCACACATTGTGTAGGGGAAAAAAAAATGCAACAAAAAATAGTTAAAAATGAGATCAGGGAAGACCTATAGGTTCAAGAGAAATGGTATGTATCACTTTAAGATTTAAGAATGAAAACATAGGTTACATAAAACAGAAGAATGAATAATTAATTTAATTAGATAAAATTAAAGAAAAGGATAGAAAGGACACGATCGAATAGTTACACATGTGAAATTATCGATATTTAACCATTTTTAATCAGAAATCAAAACCAACCAAAAGAAAGTATAACCGATTAGTTTAAAGTGAATTAATTATTTTTATTTAGATTTAAACCATTCCACTATTTCAAAAATTAATAAAATAAATGACATAGTCTCACAGAAATGATCTTATTAATACAATTTTTTTACTTAGCTGCTCATCAACCATTTTCTTTATATGTTAGAAACTTCAATACTATAATTTCAATTGAAATACTTAAGTTTTGATTTCAGATATTTGTCAAAATATAATGGTGTTATTTATTGGAGCAAAGTCAAATTCAGGGATGTTTTATTATTTTTGATATATGCATAATAAATTTAGAGATTTGTTTTAATTAATAGTTGAATTTTCCCTTTAAAATCAGTATCGAAATTGAAAAGGAGTTAACTTATAATTGTGGTATAGGTTTACTCAAAAACGTGTATAGCTGAAATTTATTCTGAGCCCTGTACTTTTTGGGAACATTAAGCAACATAATAAAGAATCACAATAATTAGAAAGCTATAAAATTTACTTTAAAATAGTAATTAAATCAAGAAAACAACACAAATTTGTTCAACTTCTAATTAATAATTCTTACTAAAACTGTAACATGATTTCTGATTAATATTCACTATTTAATATAAACTGTTATTATGTATAAACACTTCAATCCATCAAAGAGATTAAATACAATTGTTATTCATACATGATAGAAACAATAAAGAATAAGAACAAATTTGAGAAAAAACTACTAGCTCAAAGATTTATATGTTAACTGATCAAATAACAAGTTAATAAACAACTTAAAATCAGGTAATGTTACTTGATCTAAGAATTGTGTATAATGGAAAGCAATAGACAGATGTGCTCTGCTGGATTCGGCATTTTATATACAGAGTGGCCAATATGATCTTGGACCACCTGTCATTCACTTGTGACACTACTATATTTAACCTTTACTACCTATTCATCACAAATATGTTGCTTACTATTTTTAGAATTAATACGTACAACTTGACAATCAAATATCCACAACCTAATGTTTAAAAATATATAGTTTATTTAATATTTTTCATTTTTTTATCTTTTTGACATAATTATAAAGAAATTTAAAACAACTTATTAAATAATGAGTCTGAATATTTGTCTCTGAAAACCGATGCTGATCCATAGGTTAATATTAACATACTTAAAGTAACATAAATTAATAAATATGGTGATAATCATACTTGTGCCATTTTCTACCGGTGCATCATTATTTTCTACAGAAGCGGTATCTTCATTAACCTTAACATCACCCATGGTTAATAAATTCTTACTAACACCCACTAAGCTGGTACTATAAAATAATCATTCTGTTTTCACAATCTGTAACAAAATACATATAATAATAAATTTTCAATACGCACTTCAAAAAAATTCAATAAGTTTATTGTACAAATACTTGATTTCAAATTGCTAAATGACTAAGAAATTGTAGATGGTTTAAAATTATACACAATCTATATTATAGACTGTCTTATTCACAAAGGTAAATAAACATGCCATATGTGCTTTCCGAGAAACATATGGCTCACTCAATGACGTAATGAAAATTACCCTGTACATTTCGGGATATAAATAAAAACAAATACATAAACATGCCCTAATATAACCTTGGATAGAACAGTTACAAAACTAAATATTGAATAAACATTACAAACAATAAATATGAATCCAACAAGTGAAAATAACAAAGACTTTGAAAGCAACTATCATGTAACATAATAATGCATTATAAATAATACATATCATTACATCAATACCATAACTATATGGAAATTAATGACATCACAATCAATTTAATTACAGTTATGAAATTATTAAAGGAAATGGAAGAAAATAATTTAGACAAGAGAAAATGAGCAATTTGATTTCATCATTCAAAAGCTGCATTTCACAGAAATTGACATATGTATGGCTGAAAACCATTACTGTTGAGGTAAAGAATATGTAATACTTATAGAAAACTTTTAAAATTTGAAACCTTTATGAAATCTGAGGAACCTCAGCCTAACCATACACATGAATAAAACGCTGTTGTTAGGTCATAAAAGTAAACATTGTACGAATATTGTTAAAATAACATTTGTAACTACTCACTAATGAAGTATTTACCTTAAAACTACATCGTTTGACAAAAACATTATGGTAACTTCAGAATTATGAAGAAAAGTCCAATAATACTTCACACTAGAAACACACTCACTACCGATTGTGCTTGGGTCTATTAAGAAGCTACCACTACGCAGTATTACCACCAACTCAATACCGTTAACATAATACGAAATATTTTGAGGGAATAAATATTTAACTTCAAGTTTCTGGGCAATATGTAATAGTTTTGAAAATAAAAATTACTACTAAGAATAAAAAATATAACTTAAACAAAATACAATCCTTGACCGCCTAAAAGTATTTAATTGCGGGAATCAGCCGCCAACTGCATATAGATTAACATATATACAAATTTTTTTATGAAAATTAACTCTTGTAAACGTTTTTAACTATGATTAAAAAAATACTTTGAAAATATTTTACGTTGCTATTTTACATATTATTTTAAAAGGATAGCTTCATTAATTTATAAGACTCATTAATAACCTCATGTTTGTTTTTTTTTTAATTAGCAGAAATCTAGTATAATCCTCTTGTATGAAATCCTCTTCTGCTCAAGAGTGATTATATGGAACTTGCACATGATTTTTCAATAAGTACAATATAATATTTAAATGTTATTCTTGTGCAGTATAACCATGGTAGATATTAAATTGATACCTTATATGTTATTTCCATACAATAATATGTATAGTTTCAATTTTTTTTAGAAATTTGCTTAAAAATAAATATTAAAATTATTTTTTTATCAAATAGGGAGACGTAATGTAATTAATATAAAATAATAAACTGATTGTTTGTAAAGCTGACCTACCTATCTTCAGTATCAAAATGTTAAATATTTTTTGCATATTTCTTTAATGTTAAATTATAATAAATATTTTCCACAACGTTTAAGATTTATATATTATCATACTATCTTGTTTTAAAAAATATATTTCACTTCGACCTAAAAGAAGAGAAAGTTATGTTTAATTTAGAAAGGAGACTTTCTGTTTATCTGATCCATGAATTGTGTTATTTTTTTGTGATGTACATTGTTGATAAAATTCATCCTAAAATATGTTTATTTTATTTGTAAAATTACATAATTTTAAATTTTATAAATATCTTTTTTCTTAAATTTAGTATTTTCAGTTGTCATATCAAAAATGATCATGGAGTAAAATAAAAGTTAAACTCTGTATCAATTTAATACTAAAATAATATTCTTAATTGTGAAATAAACAATTCCAACATTTTATAATTCCAAAGTTTATAAAAAAAAGAAAAATTTGAAAATTTACTTTCTTCTATCAAGGAATAGATTTAATATAATTATCTATAATATATATTATAAAGATAGCAATATGTTATGTCTTATAAAAAAGAAATCTGAAAGTTTGTAAAAATTAATTAGTCTTTGTCGTTTCGTTAAAACTGTTGACTCCCATTATTACAAGATTAAACTAAAACATATTGTAAAATTTTATCGGTAGAATCCAACAGATCTTCCTTTTAATATTTTCAGTTACTGAAAATACAAATAGAAAATAAGTTCTTGGAAAGTCATTGCGAATGAAGGCTATTAATATCAAACCTTCATGAGATAACAGCTGTAAAGATAAATAATGCAATACTAGTTTGTTTTTTATTATTATTATTTTAAACTAGGTCTAACATAATTGCTTAAATATTATGTCATTTATATTACCATAATTTTGTAAATACTAGTCTACTGTTTTCTTAGGTTAAATATGTTAAATAGTTGTACTTAGCCATTCAATACAGTACTTAGGTTTTCAAGATTTCTATATTAAATTATCCTAAAATATCAGTTAAATATAATTACATCAATTTAATTTAAATAATTTTACAGTATTTGTGATTATTGTTATTTTAGTTTTTGACATATCTCTTCTCTTTACCAGAAATATGATTTATAAATAACTCACTGAAATTTCAAATATTAGTATTATCTATAATCCATTAAAGCTTGATCATTATTATAACTGTTGAATGATAACTACATTGGTTTCATCATGATATAAAAATTATTATTTATATACACCTAAATATTCATTTATAAATTGTCAGTACTATTATCCTCCATGGCTGATGAACATAAGTCCTATTTCCTACCTACATTACTTCAAATATTCTTTTACTATACCTTAAGTTTTTTTTTTATTGTTAGTGTTTTTGTACTTTGACTTACTTATATATGAAATGTATTGTAAAGAAAAGTACTGTGAATCATGAAAAGTTTTGAATCTAAGTATTCAATGATAATACATTTTTCATGGTTCCCCGAGTCTAAATAACTAAATCTCACCAAAAGGTCTATAAAAAGAATTATGAAACTGAAATTAAGTATTTAATGGGATTTTATAGAATCCTGGAATGTTATAGAAACTTTTTCGTCTGTATCGACTAACCAGAAATGATATTCTTAAGGTTTGTTAAATTCACACAAAAATAATTTATACTAAAAGTGGGGTGTTAAGTGAAAGTTGTGTAGTACTTCATATCAGATTTTTTTTTAATATGGCTAGTTAATTTAATTAAATTCTTTCAATTGTTCATGTTTTTGTATTTCTGATTTACCTTTAAGTAGTTATTGATCATATTATTTAATATTATAATTTAAATAATTATTATTAGATAAAAAACATCCATTGATGATTTAATCTTTATGTTCCATGAATCTCAGGATGAAGGGAAAAGTGTTTGCAACTTTCGACCGAAAACTCCATTTTCAACCCTCTAATAAAAAAAATGAAAAACCACAGTAAACCATAGCTAAACAAAATGAACCAGTGTAGTGCCCGACAGGTAATTTCGAGTTGTACATCATAGTCAACATGTGGTAATTATAAATTTAATAAAACATTTATAACCTCTTGCTCAATCTCTCTGCACATTGTATGCCTAATTGTGGATTGAGGTAAATCAATTATACCAGTTCACAGTTATAATGTTGCTCTTTTGCATCGCTCACATTTGGGACATTGCCAGGGCAGCACACGTCTATATTTAGCTGGAACGCTTTTATGAAGGAGAGAAAGATGACAGTGTGACATCAGAAGTCCCTTTGCTTCAAGGGCCTTAGTTATGTACGCCAGAGGATATTGTAGACATGTGGGTTCTGGAGGTAGTTCTCTGAATGGACACTTGATATATTGAAACTATGAGTTGGAACCATTCTTTCTGATTTATTTGCAGCTATCATAACTTTGACTGAAATAGTTGTATCATCCAAATAATGTATATTCACAAGGGTGTTGTGAAGTTGTTAATTCTTATAGATGTCACATGTTAAAATTCTTCTTTGAATAAAAACATAGTAATTGGTATTTGGCATATTTCTTATTATTTATTTATTTTTTTTTTTACATAGGTTTCTTTTATGCTCCTGATTATGAGGGACCTAAGGCCTAAGCTTTAAGCTTTATGGGAGAACAAAATGTGGACTTTACCGCCAATATAATGATAATTAGCTAATATTTTAGCTATAATAAATTAAATTAATATCTTAATTGGTGCATAAATGGAAAATCAAAGTGTTGAATCATTACACATGAATATTCCAAGAAACTCCATAAGAACCATTTCTTGCTAATCTTCATCATTCATCCAAATCCATCCCTCCAGAGAGCCAGAAAAGGGATCTATATACATAATATAGATATATAATATATCTATATTACCATATTATATATCATTTAGATATTTGTAAATATTTTGAGAGTTATGTAGGTTAAATGAAAAAAACAAAATGTTGGTTTCAACCACAGGCGGATCTATGGGAGAGGGCTTTCGGGCTGAAGCTCCCTTCTCCTCAAAATGGTAAAATACTACCATGTCTTATGAATAAAATATTACAAAATTATCTCTAAAAGTATTATTTTTCGTGTAATTACATTTAATAGGACTTCAAGAATCACTTAAACACCATTTTTTTAGGTAGTTAGTTTTTTCTTTTTCTTCCGAAGTAATTATCTTTATATTTAAAAAAAAAAAAAAGCTTTCGGGCTGAAGCCCTCCGCAAAAATAAAATCCTGGATTCACTAGTGGTTTTCACTGAATATCGCAAGAAAAACTTAGCATTGAAATAAGTAGTTTTATACAGGAAGTAAGAGTATGGTATTTTTACTCTTTTCAAATGTGTATATCTCATTTTTCTTATGCTCTTTAATGTGAAAGCATCACATTGTTTTATATAGTTGTATTGATTAAAAAAATGTCAGTATTCAAATGAAATGTATTCCATTATAAAAATGAATTCAAATGAATGGGATTACAGGCACCGAATAGATCACTATCATGATCTTGGTTTGGATCTTTTTTTATTAATTTGAAAAGGACTGTTATATCAATTTATAACCTCTTAAGCTGAAGTAGGGAGCTCAGTGAGTAAGTCAGTGTGTTCCTATGATCAAGGTTCCAGTCCGGTTGTGGAATTTCAGTCGACCCTGGGATCAGGAGATCCTCCTGAATCACACACAGCCTCTAAAAATGGGTACTCTTAATTAAATAATTGATTAATAATTAAAAATTTGCTGTTAAGTGTGATCTTGGCTCAATCACCTCACTGCATAACTATTAGCATTGAAACAGTACTTCCTCACAAAGTATTGAACCCAAGATCCTGCATGGTTTTTAATGGTACAGGTGTTTTTTTTTATAACCTCTTTGACTTACCTAATGTAACATATTTTTCAATTTTATTATTCAATATATTTAATTCTATTATTTGATGTTTGTAGAGATCTTTTGATTCATATAGTGATCGATATATGAAGCAGTGATTTATTGTCAGTCGATAGATTGTAAGAGTAAACCGAGAACAGAAAAGGTGCCAGAATATACCCTTGATTGACTCCTGATGAAATAACTTTGATATGAGGTCTCAGTCTTGACAAACTGCGAAAATATTTCAATTGCCCTGATGCCACAACCTTCAAAAGCTTGATCATTATCAAAAAACTAGAATTTTAAGTTTAGTTGAGCAGATCTGTGCCTCTGTATAGCTGTTGTGTTTTTGAATAATGTGAGCCGACTCCAAATTGGTGGTTTAAAATGAGCATTTATTTAATAATCCTATCTGCTGACATGATAAGATTATAACCATGAGCGTTATTATTATATTGTGTATATTTATATTTTTTTTTATGTCTTTTTAATTTGCACTTCAGTAGGAGAACATGGTTTGAGAATAAAATAAAGTGATATAGGTTCGAGAGAGTTTAAGGATATCTGTATAAACATTTTTCTGTTAAGTTTTCGTGCGGTTGAAATACATCAGTAATCTTGGATCAGTAAAATTAATAGTTTTTTCTCCATTCGAGGTAGCTCAGTAACCATTATCTTTTCTCAAAGGAACTGAATGTTTAAAGGAAAAAATATTAAAATTCTTAATTCATGCTGGTAGAATGAAGTTAGTGGAAGGTAACTAATACAAATGAGAGTACTTGTGAGCGATACGGGCTCTATGGACTGCTATCTGTAGTTATCTTTTTATTTAAAGTGTTGTTGTTATTTATATTTCTTAATTATATATATATATATATATATATATATATATATATTATATATATATATATATATATATTAATAAGAAACAGGCAAAAAAGAGGCAACACCAAATATATTAATGTTTCTTATTATAGGAGAGTCTAATTCCGTATGAAGATAGGGATTACAGTGCCTTATAACAATTATCAGTGTTCAGGTTATAAATATTGGCAGATAGCAGTCCATAGAGCCCACCACGCTCACAAGTACCCAAATGAGCATAGCAAAAATTTTACAAAATTTATTAAAAATACATATAAAAAGATATGAATGTACATATACATAATTGTAAAAATAAATGTTTGCTAATCATCTTCTCTGCTTTCTCTACTTTCAACAGAATCAGCACCTCCTGAAGACTCTGCAATAAAGATAACACAGTAATTAATTAAATTTTAATAGTATTAATAATTATTTAAATATTTACTAATGTAATATTTTACCAGATGAAAATCGAGTGCTGCAATGAACATGAATGTCTATTAATTTTTCTTCGTCTATTTTATCCTCTTTGCTAAACAGTTTTTTTAGCTCTCCTGTGCTTGTACTGTCATTACTTGAATTTAATAGATCGCCTACAGAAAAAATGTCTTGATTTTTCTCACTTTTCGTGGAAACTCTCTCCATTATTTTTGTATGCATAACATACATTTCCGATGTACCAAGTTCAGTAAGAGTTCTTTTCACTATTGTCCTATTTTCTGATATAGTGCTCAATAAATTTGGTTCACCGTGTTCAAGACTTATGGCAGATTCAAAGTGCTGAGGAGTTTCTCGAACCGTAGATGGTTCAGTTAAAATATCATCCTCATTTTGTTCACTATAAGGTTTTATTTCTCCACTACTGTAACTGTTTGATGTATACACATAACCTATTTCTCCTTCAGACATTTCTTCCTATAATTAAAATTATTATATAAATTTTTTAAAAATTAATAAATAACATTCATTAATAATTATTGTTTCTGGTGAATAGTTATTTCAAAAGAAACATTTAATAGAATTAAATCAATGAATTTTTCCTCAACAGAACATTGTGCATTCATTATAACTATTTTTGACATATAACAGGATTTGAGTTATTTTTATGCACTTGCTGATATCTATGTATCATATTGCTTATTTGTGCAAATACGTGAACTCACTCATATGTATTTATCTTTAAATTCATACGTCTACTTCAAGATCATATATTTACTACAGTGTCTTTTCTTTATTTTAATATAAAGATTAGGCAACTTTGTAAATGAATTTATTTTTAATTGTCATTTAATTATTCATTGTTCATTATAGTTATTCTGAGGGAACTAAATATCCGAGGATAAAATTTATTTTCTTTCTTTCTTTAATGAGTTTTTGCATCGATAAATATCAAATATATTCATGAATACAAACTCAAAATATTAGTTCCATAAAAAAAATTATTTTGTGACTTTTTTTTCAATAAACTAACAAAATAACCTTGGAATGAATAATAAGATAGAAAGATATCTTTCTAATGTATTAAAAGAGCCAATATTAAAATATATCAAGTAGGATGACAATGCCCAGTAATTGAATTGGAACTATACACAATACACTTGGAAATAAATTTTCCTGAGTCTTCTAGAACATCTTAAAGTAGTATCTTAATTGAGGATATCTTGAGATGTTGAAGGAGGTTATTAGACAAAGTTAATTTTTTTTTTCTTTTCTCTCCCTACCTCCCCTTTTTGGCCAGAAGTAATGTCTCCAGCACTCAAACTCGTTATCATCATGTTGCCTGATAACGAATGTATTGCAAATGCGACTCCAAAAGGAAGTACTTTGAGAAAACATTTTCCCACCATTTGTTCCCAGTTAGCAGCCATTTCAACTTGGAAAGAATATCAACCCCTTGTGCCCCAATTGCACCGGAGACTGCCGAGCACATAGTCGCAGCCTGCACTGTCTACGAGACACTGATAGACAAACTTCTGAGGAAAACAAGTCATTTTGACAGAGAGCGATTTCCCTCAACTAATGGAAACGCTAAATGGAAAACTATCCGCACTTCAAGGATCTTCTGGCAGGTTGGAAAACAATTATTGACTCAACTCTTTCTCATTAAGAAGAAGAGTAGGTGCAACACCTAAAAGGCCGCCAGAAGAGGAGCAGGAAAAGACCATGGCCAAACCTAACGAAATACAATACAGCGGTGTGCCCAGCTCATGAAAATTGTAATATTGTTTTTCCAGCAGCAGTGTGTTGCAACGCAGACATGCTTAATATCTCACTGCTGCTAAAACCCGTAACGCCTATCAGGCACAGTAGGGGTGTAAATAAATAAATTGTATTGCAAATGCACGAGCCCTCTCATCCACCCTGACTCCTAAACTTTAACTTTTAAGTGGCAACTCTGTCAATTACTCATATTGTCACCCTAGTGTTAGTCTAATAATTTTGAAATCAGTTAGTGGTTTCAGCATCCCCTATGGTGGAAAATGCGAAGGTTAGGTAGCTACATGGCCGAGCTCTGAGGAAAAGGATTTAAGAATTTTTGAATTTAATTTCTTCTTCGGCAAAATCAGCATTCAGTATTTTAGCACTAAGCCATAGAAATAAATCCTCTAGATCAATTACAATCCTTTCCTAATGAAATTGAACCTGTGGGTGTTCCCAACTTTGAATTTAAGTTTTACAAATTTTAATTTTTTTATTTCTAAATTTTGAATGTGACTTATAAACTGTTTTTTAAATAATAATAACTAGTATACCTCAGCAAGAATTCTCATAATAGATATTTATCTTTCTTCCTAATACATTCGATGTATAGGCAACATTAGCGAAATATATATTTATTTACTTTGTGGTTATTTTTTAAGTATCTCTGAAGTTCCAAAGCCCACGTTTCTGTCTTTCACTATTATTCTAAAGAGACTCGTTCCAGAATAAATGAAGTATTATTATTATTATTATTACTGAAAGTATAAGAAACCATAATGCTTAGATATGTTTTTTATTTATTCATATTTATTAAAAATATGAAGAAATTTCTATCTGTATTATCCAAAGTTTCCAAGGGATCATTGATCTATTCTCCTCCATTAATATTATCAATTGATTTTTATTTCTTCAAAGACTATAATAAATAGCAATATTTTAAATTTTAAAACCTTAACAAAACATTCCTATATTTGAAAGTTCTCTCACAGGTATACTAGTATTACCATGAAGTAACTCTAAGCCAAACCATTTTTAACTTTAAAAAGGTTCATATTGAGATCGATAATAAAAAATATTCATAAAAAACAAAAAAGTAATGATTGTAAATAAATAAAAAAAATTAAAAAGTATAATAATACTTACAGGATTAAAGTAATTTAATTTAATATAATCATCAGATATTTCGGAAACATCTTCACTACTCAAAGGTAATGTTTGAATCATGATGTCTTCTTTAGGAGGTGATGTTTGAGAATAATTGTCAAATTGTCTCTTCTTAGGAATATTATCCTTTATTGTATCACTTATGGTTCGACTTGACGTACGAGATGGATTATCAAATGCCAAATTTTCAACAGAGATACTGCTAGAAGTAGGGGATGGTATTTTAGGTGGTTCATCATGGCTTGATGATTCATTTTCTAGAGTTAAAACAGGAGAGTTGCCCATTTTCCTAAAAAGATAATCCGAAGATTTCAGACTTCTGTCAACATGGGACGGGCCACTGACAAACAGAGAATGAACACTAGCGTTAGAAACTGCCTCTTGTTCCGTATCATAAAGCTTTTCATCTGGTTGATCTTTTTCAATTTTTTCTGGAATAGGCAACAATCTTGAAAAATCCTTTTTCATAGAAAGTGCCTCTACTGAATTCATAGATTTTTGCTCTTGCTGGCTGATTTTGGATTCAGATGGCACACTTGAATTTAGATCTTTTGGTACTGAAATCAGTATCTTGTCTTGAAATGTATATTTTGGTGCATTTCCACTTTCAGAGGCAGAGAGAATATTTGCGAAATGTGATACAGAAGTTCCTTGGGAGTCTAATTCATCTTCACTTTTTGATGCAATTGTTGGTGTTTTTGCAACTATTACAGTACTTTCTTCAATGCTGTCGGTAACATCGAAACTTTGTTCCACACTCACCAGAGCTGAAATGGCTTCTTCGAATGATATTGACTGTTTGTTAGAAATATCCACTTCTTGCACATTTCCTGTTTCATTATTTTTCAAAGAAGAGGTTTCAACTGCCTGTTCAGTAGTACTTTTCTGGTCAAAGTTTTCTACTCTTTCGTGTATGTCGGCTGTTACTTCGAACTGCGTAGCGGGTGGAAAAGATAATTTTTCTTTTTCATTTGAACTGCTTCTTCTACTATAATTAACATCTTCAGGTAGAGGAAAGAGCCTGTTATGGAGTCCTCTGGCAATGGGCACTTTGTCAATTTCCTTTTCTTTTAAAACTAATTTCATATTTTCAGAGCTTTTGTCACTTATTAAATCACTGTTAAATTTATCTGAATTCCTATTATCACTACTTTGTCTTTCCCTAACTAAATTGAAAGGAATTCCAAATAAATTACTATCTTCAATTTTTTGCAGATTATGTCTACGATCCATATTTTGTGGATCAGAAGTTTCGATTAACGCATTTGAATCTTTCAGTTGCAGACCGACAGGTGGACTTGTCAGATTTTCAAAAGGTACGATCTCTTGATTATCCGGTGTACACCTACGAGAAAGCCAGTTTCCAAAATCATCGTTGCTTTGAGTACTAATTAAAGAACTGGCAGATTTATAAAAAACTTCATTTTTCAAACTGGTTTTGGAAGAACTAATATGTAAGTTGTTTACTGATGCTTTACGTTCTGCACTGCTTGTCAACTTTTGGTCTAAGAGATTTTCACAAGTCACTTCTGATGTCTTAAACTTATTGACCATTTCGGTCACCTTGTTCTCCAGGAACTGGATAAAATTGGTTGTTATGTTTTGAAAATCGTTAATATCTTCCTTTTTCTGTAACGATGCTTTTTCATCTATATTTTGTTCACATTTCGTAAATACTTTCTCAATATTTTTAGGAGCGTCTATCTGAATTGGTTCTATTGTTACAATTTCTTTTCGGGGCGGAACAGATTTCAATCCATTTTCATTTATTACCTGCCGACTAATTATTTTATCATCTTTGTCCAAATTATATAAAAGTTTCACTTCTTCACTATTATGGGTCTTTTGAACTGTAAGGCTACTTTGGAGTTTTTCGGTTTGCTCAGGAAAACGTACTTCTAATAAAGAATTAGTAGAGGCATTGGTCATTCTCAAAACAGTAAAACAACCTGTTTCAGGTGCGACATTAATAGGTTCGAGTATTTCAACTTTTGGTTTTTGACTTTCACTTTTCTCTTCACAGTACATTGTTGATATATCTCGTTTACCAACATAATATTGAGTCTCAACATCTTTTAGCTCACTATGAACTTTTTTATTGTCTGGTATTGGTTCTGTTTGTCTTTTAATATCTTTTGCTTCTTTATCTTTTGAATGATTCTGACTCGCTCTTGAGGATGAACGTGATGCAGGCGGCAAAGTTCCAGTTTGAGAGCCTTTGCTGGAAACAGATAATTGTTTCTTAGGACTGGAATGTGCTAACGAAGTTTGTCCTCCGCTAGAATGAACTTGAGCAACTACATTTATGTCAGTCATAGCCAATGATCCATCTGAAATTGAAAAACAAAAAAATTTTAAATACACAATTAAAACTGTCCTAATATTTTAAAATATTACTAGTTGGCCCATGGGAATAATCCGCAGAGAATATTGTTCAGAGAAAAAATGAGAAAATAATAAATAATTCATAACAATAGATTGTAATGAATAATTGAAGAGAAGTTGGTTGAGATGTTCAAAAAAAAAAAAAAAAAAATTAAAATAAATAATGATATTTATTTTTATATTTGCCGATGTTTTGGTCTAAAGTTCAGGCCTTCATCAGGACTATGAAAAGACCAGATAACAATAGATATGAGAAAACTAATAATTTATGGAAAAAAAAAATAATATTAATAATAATATTGTTAGGAACATATGAAAAAATATTAATAACAATAACAGAGAGGAACTTATGAAATAAATAATAATGGAAACAAAGTTTGGGACCAATGAAATAAACTATTTTTTAAACAAGTTAAAACGATAAAATAAGATTTTTTTTAAACAAGTATATTTCATTAGTCCTCAACTTTGTTGCCGTTATTATTTATTTCATAAGTTATTAGTGTTATTAATTTTTTTTTCATATGTTCCTTATTATTATTATTAATATTATTATTATTATTAACACTAACTGACCTGTGTGAATACTCTGCACACACCTAATAATTATATCTGATTTTAATACATTAAGAGAACAACTTCCATTCAATAATGTTTGATACACAAAGGTTTATTACATATATTTTGTAAGTTGTCTGTTTAGGAATAGGATTTATATTCTGCCATGGTTTAACCATTGCGTTTACTTAAACCTATAATTTAAATGTTAGCTTTTTCCTTCATTAGATTATCATAAATTAACAAAAGCTTCTAAACATTGCTCTAAACATCTGATGAAGACAAAAGTATCAAATGCTCAGGGAGTTATATAGTTAGTCCAATCAGGATGAATGTTACTTTATCATTAAAAAAAATCGAAAGTGTATTTTTAAAATGATAAACTACAATCATAAAGATCTGATAGCAAATGCTATTGTTATCAAAGCACATTGAAAAAAATTACTTACAATGTTTAAAGGAAGACACATTTTTATAAACAAAAATAAAATTAATATTGTTATTAATTCAAAAGAATATAATGTTTTGAAAATAAAAAAAATAATTAGTAATTGATACATAATATATTGTATCCCAGAAAAAAAGGGCAAATTTCCAATTTAATAAATAACTACTCAGATGCAACACAATCTTTGCAGTGTAACAAATAATATATGTTCAGAAAGCTATAACTCTGCACCAAATAGTCCGATTTTGATGATTTTTTAAAAAATATTTTGGAGTTAATTTAGTAAGCTTTCAAATACTTATATGTATAATGCACAAAGAATTGCTTCCTTTTCGAGTTATTCCCAAATTATGAATTCATTTGTAACGTCTCGATTCCTTGAGACCATCATGTGCTTTGAAACCTCCCTATTCTACATTAACTTTTATTTAAGAACTTATATAAAATTAGGAATATAAATTACAATTCGCACACTCGATATGATATTCCCTTTCTATTGATACCTCATACGTCAAAATCCATCACTCCTGAGAGCCGGAAAAGGGATATATATGGATATATATTTGAGAAATTACAGAATACCTTGGTGCCCACATCAATGAACATGGATGGATCGTCGGAGAAAGAAAGGAAAGAGTGAAATCTGCAGGAAGGTGCTTCAACGCCATCAAGAAGGGATTCTTGAACAAGAGAGAAGTGAGTAAAGAGACTAAAACGACCGTGTATAAAAATACTTTCCTCCCGATAATGACCTACTCCAGCGAGTCATGGACCCTCACCACAAAGCACATCAGCCAGATTCAGGCCATGGAGATGCGATTCTTGCGCAGGATCGAAGGAAAAACAAAGAGAGATCGCATAAGAAACTCCATAATACGGAAAAATCTGAACTTAAGATCAGCCGAAACTGTGATGGAGGAAAATCGTTTGAGATGGTTTGGTCATGTCTCTCGAATGCCAGAGAATCGAATGGCCAGGATAGCGTTGGAAAGTAAAGTGGAGGGAAGAAGACCTCAGGGAAGACCAGGAAGGACAGTGTCAAGGAGGCCTTTGACAGAAGGGATATTGACTGGAGGAGGAGGCGGCAGTTGGCTCAGGATCAAGAGTTGTGGATTCGGCTCTACAAGAAGGCTCCTCACACCGCTCAGCAGTAGAAGAGGAAATGATTAAGAAAAAGAAGAAGATATTTGAGAAATTATAAATAAGATTATTTTATAATAAACAACCTTCTTTATGTTATTCATATTTTTTGTGAGATATTTTAATATTTATTATATTTAATCTATATATATAACCCTTTTTTAATCTCACAGTCTTTTCTTACAATTTTAAAATATATAAAAATTTTTTTGTTTTAAACTTTTCGTCTTCAAGAACCATTTTCAAAAATTCTTTTTCTTTAAAAAATCATTAGATATATTAAAAACTTTATTACTATATTTTTTTAAATAAATTTATTTCATATAATTCTAAAAATTTTAGTAATAATGTTTTTAATATGACTAATGTTTTGTTTATTTGTTTGTTTTTTTAAAGAAAAAGAATTCCATACAAGTACTGAATTTTATACTAATGTGATAAACAATTTTATACAAAATATGTTACCATATGATTTAGAGCTTTCGGCATCTTCCCAATCATCTTCATAATCTTGGTCTGCTTTATTTATCTACAAAATAAAAATAATATAATATTTGAAAGTTGTTTGTAACGTAAAATTAACCAGATACAGTTAACAAAAATGAATAAATAATATAAATATTTTTATGTTTAAAAATGTATAAAATATTTATTAACTTAATCAATTGACCATCATAAATTCTTTTTCTTTTATTTAAAAAAACATATATAAAAATCTGTATGCTGATTATTTGGTAGATGACCCTCAAAACTTAAAAATAATTTTTTTCAAACTTATGTACAATCTAATATGTAATTTTTTTTTTTGCCATTTCCTTCTTTGCCTTTTAGGCCATTCTGGATTAATGCCAGAGTTAAAAGCTTCCCTGGAACCGGGATGTCGACTCATAATTATTTTATCATTTGATAGTCAGTTTATCAGGTTGCCGGGCAATGCATTGTACTTGCGTTAGCGCACTTCCCATTCCCCACGGTATAAGGGAGGGGATGACCGATTTAAGGGTGATTGTAATTTACTTTACATCATAATGGAAATATTAAGATAATGTTAGTTTTACCAACTGAAGAGTGAGTTCCTTCAATAAATCTTTTTCACTACTTTCTTAAATTTCCTTAATTATATTAGCTTTAATTACAAATTTACAACAGCTTACCTTTGTTTCATTTTTTTCCTGAATTATTTCACTTTCTTCTTCATCTTCACTAGCACTCTTGATACTGCAAAAAAAATATAATATATGTTAACATTATTATAACGACATATTAAATCTAAAGATCTAGCAATTTCATAATCATTTTTTAAAAAATTGCTATTAATATAATTAATTGTTAAGAAGAACAACATTGAAAAATATCTAGCACATTTTTCTGAATGTTCTGATTTTAGATAAAACCGAGAATTGAAACAGTTATTAAAATTATACAAATAGTTTTATTCAACCAATAATTTAATTAAAATCCCTATTTTTATCATCTAAAAATACTATATTTAAAAATAAATTATATAAATGTTTAAAGTAAAAGCTGTAATATTTCGAGTATTAACATTGATGCCATAAATTAAGATTAAAAAATTACAAAATTTAAGGGAATAAAGGTTCAAAATTTTAATTTGCTTCATTAATGAAGACTAAAAATGATTCAAAACTTGTTTTAAGAGAAAATAATGTCATATTATTTTATTTGTACATATTATTTATAATTGTGCACTAGCGGATCCAGGATTTAATTTAGGGGGGGAGATTCAGCCAAAAGCTTTTTTTTTTCATAAAACTAACGATAATTACTTTGGAAAAAAAGAAAGAAACTAACTATCTATATGAAATGGTGTTTAAGTGATTCCTTAAGTCTTTTTAAATGTAATTACACGAAAAATAATACTTTAAAAGATAATTTAAATATTTTTTTCCATAAAACATGGTTATATTTTACCATTTTGGGGGGAGCTTCATCTCGAAAGTCTCCCCCTCCCCTCCGTAGATCCACCCTTGTAACTGTATATTACTCGAGAGTAAAGATTAATCCTGTACTTAATCCAATATTACAGGGTTGGAAGTAAGGAGAGGAGCAATAAGAGTGCTTGCTATCGATGGCAAAATTTAGAAGAAAAAAAACTTGTACCATTACGAACCATAAAGGGTCTTGAATTCAGTACTATTTAGGAAAAGTACTGTTTCTTAGTCAACGGTTGTGCAAGGAGGTGATTTGACTGAGATCACGCTCAACCGCCAGGTTTTTTCTCCTGAATCAATTTTTTAATTAAGGGTATAGAAACTGGAATATAGAATCTACTTTATAGACTGGGTGTGCCCCAGGAGGGGGCTCCTGATCCCAGGGTCGCCCCACGGCTGATGAAACAGAATAAATAATTTTTCTGCCATGAATGGAGATTCGAACTGAGGACCCGAGCATTGGAAGATCAGTGCCCTACCATTGAGCTACCCCACTCCAGGCAAAATTTAGAGAGCTGCAAATTTCTAATGGAATTTTATTTTTAGGAAAAAATATTTGTTTCTGTTTTTTTATTGTTTTCATCTAAAGTCAGTCAATAAAATGAGGTTATGTTATGGGATGATGATATAAATTTTAAAATGAGAGGAGTTGGTTGGAGGGGTGCGGTCAAATAAATACTAAATTTTTACAATAGTGTTTTAATTGCTATGCCGACGTTTCGACTCACTTTATAGGTCTTCATCAGGGCATGGTATAGGGCACTGCAGATAGCAGTTGATAGACCGGCAGTCAAAGCAGATAAAATGACTAGACCTGTTTCGACTGCCAGTCTATCAACAGCTATTTGTAATGCCCTATACCACGCCCTGATGAAGACCTACAAAGTGGGTCGAAACATCGGAGTAATGATTAAAATATTATTGTAAAAATTTAGAATTTCTTTGACCGCTAAAATAAGTTAACAACCGTTTGAAACAAACTTTCAATGCTTTGATGCTTCAAATTTGATAAAATCTTCACATAAAAATGATGGGTTCCACGTGAATGTATCATACAATCCTGGGAAAATACTTGTGTTTCTATTTCTAGGCCTTAACCAACTAATTGACTTTTCCTATTTTATTAATTGATTTTAGTTAAATATTTTATTCATTCATGCAGATTAATTGTTATTGATTTTGATTTTATTTTGAAATATTAGGGGAGAAGAGAGGAAGAAACAATATTCTCGACCCTCTTTATTTTTATTTGGGTGGCGATGGTCCTCCTAGTTTCCCTGAAGTCTGTGCCTATGCCAGGATTCTTCAATCCTGTGCCCACGGGCATCACTTTGCCTATGTGATGTCAATGTGGCTTTGAGTAAAATTGTGTCCGCCTAACCTAACCTGAAATAATGATCACCATGGCAACCATTAACCACATAATGCAGTATTGTTGTTCAAGAAGTTTTATATAATCATTTTCTTTGAAAATAATCATTTATGGTTATCATAGTATTTTAACAATTATTTCCAGATAATTTTCATCATTTTTCCTTTAAAGAACAAAAACTAAATTACAAACTTGATAATTTCGCATTATAATCACTAGTTATGTGCTTATATAATATCTCATATTTTATTGTTTAAATTATAAAATAATAATATATCTCCAAATTATGAATCAGTGACCAATAAAATGCATCACAAATACCATATTATCTTTAGCATTTATATTGCTTATAAAGAAATTTCATGTCTAGTGAACATTTTTTTATGTATTATTAAATAATTATTTATTTTATATAAGAATGCAAGCAATACTTTTCATATTTTGAAATTATCCTTTTTGTATTATTATTAAATAAATTGGTGGTCGAAAAAAACCGCGAACCTTGAATTTTATAAAAACTGCAGATTAAAGAATATTATGAAGTAATGAAAGGTCAAAGGGGATTATCATGCATTAATCCTTTCGAGAAAATTTCATAATTCTCTTCAGGATTAATGATAAAAGTATTAATTAAAACATGGACTTCATATTAGAAACGCTTCAGGAGCCTGGTGCATTTTTTTTTTTCCATTTTGGATCATTGTATAAAACCGATTTTTATGGTTTCTGAATATTTTATCTTATCTGATTCAAGCATATAATTGATCAGCTTATTAAATTATTTTTAAAAATTCTTTAGTGAAAATTTAATTAATTCAATAATTTTAATTCAATCAATTACATACATAAATGTTTCGTTTAAAACATGAGCATCTTTATTTGAAATTGATTTGTCTTCATCAATCGTGGAATGCATCGAATGATCAGTCTGTGAAGATTCTTTTGACGGAACAGCCTTTCTCAAGTTTTCATTGATCTCAAGAACCTTTTCCAAACGTTTGAATCTCAATTCAATATCTTGTGAATTTCTAGCTTCTTCCATTGCTTTATGTTTGCCTCCTGGAATAAGCAGACGATACGGGATATACAAATGTCCTGGGATGTCTCCCATGCTACCTGCAGCAACCATGTTTCCTTCTGAAAAAAATTTTTGATTTAAAAATGGGCATATTTACATAATTAAATATAATTTCAGATTTATACAGATTCATAAGTTCTATTGCATTGCTTTTGAAATATAACTTACAGTTTTTAATAAATAAAAATTCTCTTGTCAAGGATTAAAATGAGACAAAAGTGACTCAACATCTCTTTAAAATGGAAATGGGTAGAATAAGAACTTATCAATCAATAATTTTCTTAGCCAATGATCTCCAAACTATAAAATAAGCACCATTTGTTCTTTGTGGGATATGCTATACTGGAATGCTAAGGAATGACAATAGATGAGACAGGAATTCCAATCCTACTTCCTCACAGTGATTACTGGGTGATGTGCGCATTATATGAACATTGAACTTGAAGGCAAAGGATCTCCCTCACTCCTCAAAACTGGGTATTTCAGCAAATACCATCTTAATAGATAGCAGGAGATCCTCCAGGAAGGGTGTTCAGATAAGGCAGTTGTAATGGAGAAGGATCTGAAGAGTTTATGAAGATTCTCTGGATGAGGATATAGATAACCCCAAGAAATAATGCAGGAATATAACGTCACGGAAGGGACCTGATAGTGACCGAAAACCTCAAAAGAGGTTGAGGCTGTGATGGCCAAGCATGTTACAGCATTGTCCACTTTAAAAGTTTCGAGTCTAGGTAGTGCCTAGGAGGGTTGAAATTAATATTGTGGCGTACCCACAGAATGAATCTCAGCCTTCTCACTCTGGTTAGAATAGGTTTAGTTATACTTTTGGAACAACCCTTCCCATGAAATAATAATGCCTGTATGCCATGGTAGAGTAGAGGATAAAAATATGACATTCGGACAAATCCTGTCCTTAGGGATCTCCAATCACCACTCACTCATAAGATTCCAAAGAGCAAACCTGATAATTGGATATTTAGTTTAATTAGATGGATATATAGTTAGGACATCTGATGTAAGAAGTTGTCATAGGATCTGCTTTTAATCTTGTAACAGATATGGAAGCAGGATATTGCTGCAATCCAAGATATAAGTTGGAAGGATAGAGAGAAAATCAACATATAAAAGCGCCAGCTACTTATATAGTTAGACAGATAGATAGAAAATAAACTTTATTTTGGAATAAGATCCCTTAAGAATAACAATTATGAACAAAAAACAAAAACCATATCTGGCCATAAACTACATTAATAAAAGAAGGAGATGGTCCGGGTTGCGGTCATAAATAGGCTAAATAGTGGTAAAACTATTTTATTGAAAGCCGACGTTTCGACCCGACTTTGCAGGTCTTCATCAGGGAGGTGTGTTCATCTAGGAGTTTCACTTAGAACTGATATACAGTTCTGTGAGTCTTGTAAACACTGTGAGTCTTGTAACAAGTCACTTAAGATTCACTTTATTAATTCTCATTTGGACTTCTTTCCCAAAAATTGTGGATGGTCCCAAAAAGTTTCAGAAAGTCAAGGTCAGTGGGATACTTCAATGCTCACGGACTGCTGCCGGAACGTTTTGAGGGATTTGCCAGAACATCAGTACAATCTTCAAGCAAAGAAGAAACATTGGTCCATTGGTCAAATTAGTCCATTTATTTGACAAAATTTTTCATGAGCCCTAACTTTATATGTAGTTGAGGCAAAATGATTTTTTCAGGGCCCACAAGAGGGTTGTAGAGAACATTTTTTTGTCCAGGGGTCAGGACTTCTTTTTGGGGCCATTCTTTACTGATGTAATGAGATGCTCTGGTTGAGAAATGGATCTTTGATTCACAGCTAGTTGTTTCCCGCGATTCACAGACAGAAATCAATCTTACCAACTCCGGAGCAGGAAATTTCCCCATATTACGCAAAAAGTAACTATATCTTTGAAACTAGAGCTAACTGATGATTTTTATGTAGAAATTCAAATTTCTCAAACCAAAAAACATGGAATGAGGCTGTTTTCAAGGGAGATACAATATCAATGTAGAGCAGTGTAATTAGAGAAACATTTCTAGGCCAGACCGGAGATGCTTGCTCGTTGAGTTGAAAAGAAGAAAAAATAAATAAATATTCATACATTTACATTCATAGCTCCTTTTTTAAAAATATTGAAAAAATAATAATAAATGATAAACTACCTGTTTCATGAGTCCCAACTGAAGAAGTGACAGATGTTTTCTGTGAAACTAGAGTTGTCTTACTTATTTGTTTTCTTATGCTAGGTACTGAAGACTTTTTAACTTTCTTCTTTTCTTCACCTAAACAATTTTAATATAATATATTGCCAGATATTTAAATAAATATTATATTTAAAATAAATATGCTCCCCATTCCTGGTGTATTGTAATGTGCACCTTTATTGAAAGTGAGTAAAAAGGGTTTAATAAATTAATATTGAACAATTAAAAGGCAAGCTAATGTAGTTCTACTAATGCAGGGAAAAGAAAATGGCTGCTCTGTAGTTTCCCAAGATGGAAAATACCAAAGAGGAGAGGGAAAAAGGTTTTTTGTTTTGGCAGGTAGTTCGTTTTTGACTGGGGTGAGGAGAGGGTAGGAGAAGGGATCTGGCTCCAGTGGATAAAACCCAGTAACAGTATTACCATTTTGGAAGTTGTATTTGGCAGAACATTAGAAAGTATTTGAAGACAAATGAATTTAGGGCAACAAAGGAAGAAACAGTGTATATATGAAGAGGTTTGCTTGCCAATCCATAATTGACTTTATTTTAAAATCAGTGTTTAATTTTATTGTAAATAATAATAGTTTGTCTGATTATCAGTAACCCACACCTGAGATAAATAAATATATTAATGCTCTAATAATTTTGTTTATTATTAAACAATCTCTTATTTAATTAGGAAGTATTCCAATGGTAATAAGTGAGCTTCCGAGGATATATTATTATTATTTTAAAATATAAGAGGGATGTTACAGTATATGAGACCTATCAGCCTACAGGAGGCTGATACAGACCGGGCATAAGAGTGATAACTCTACACAGTATACTTTAATTGGGAGTCATGCTGCGTTTTTACAAGATGCTAGTAGTCACCCAAAGGTTTGGTCTATGGACAGTCTTCCAGGAAAAGAATACAGGTTCTAATGCACCTGATATCTCTGAGCAACCATAATTTAAGGATCTAGGCTGCTTTGTCATTAACTTTGAACCTGAGGGAAGGACACTGCCAGATTGGCCCTGAAGGAATCAACTATGGAGCTATGTGTGGCCTGATGCTGCACAATTTGCCGTAGCAACAAGAGGTTGGGTGACTCCCTCCAGGCTACCTCTGCAAGCAATATACAAAGACCATATCACTTGGCCAAATATCTAGATGGTCTATAGCGTCAACAAAAAATAAAGTTACCAGACATCAATTTTTTAACGCTATTTCTTATTTCATCCCTCATGAAAAAATAAAGTCTCAATCCTTTTTAATATTAATACCTCAAAAGCAAGGGTATTGAAACTTAATAAAGTTCTAGATATTAAAAAGATAATTGGTCATCATACAATAGTTGAAATAATCCATTCAATTTAATGTATTTTTTTGGTAGAAAATATTATTTTACTTAATGTTTTTATCATTTGTTTATTTTTTTATTAATGCAATGGTGACATCAGCATTTTCTTGCAGCCCAATATAGACTAGATTTTCTTGAGTAATCATTCTTGATGTCTACAGATGAAAATAATTATGTCCTCTACGGCAGGACATACATCAAGATGGTGATCTTTTTTTCTTTTTTTAAATTTTGGCTTTAAGACTTGTAAAAGCAAGTCCTATTTTGCCTGTAAAATATTTTAATTGTCATAGTAAGATGAAATTACACTGGATTTATATTAATTATTTATAGTTAGATGATCACTGAAAGTAACTTATATGGAACTTGGATATTAGATATTAGATACTATGGAAACTATAAAGGCTAATAGTTAAAAACTGAGATGAATTAGAATTACAATTAACTGAGAATAAGAGACGACTTTTATTATATGACTGCTTTTATGTCATTCATGAACTTTATCAAGTCACGGGCGTTATCTTTATTCATCGACCGAAGAAAGTTAGCTCCATCATCCGTAGTTTGCGATCCTAAACTAATTCTTCTTCGCTTCTCGAATCTTTTGCACTTGAAGGATATGTGTCTTGGATCCTCTAAGCATTGGCATGTTGGGCAGTGACCGCTGGTGATCTTTTATCTCTTCTTCAAAGCATAAGGGACACATTTAAGCTTTCCAAAACTCCAATTCTATGGAAATGTTGATGAAGGTAGCTTTTTTTTTTTTTTCTTTTCTCTCCTACATTACGTTTTTGGCTAAACAGGGCTTTTCTTGGGCCAGGGGAGAAAGCATAGGATTCATGGCAGAGTTAAATGCTTCCAACTACAAGACTTGACCTTCTAATATTTAGGTTAGTTGGTTACCAGGCAACATGTGTATTGCAAAGGTGTCAGCTCTCTTGGCCATCCCATCCCATCCATCGTCCTGAAGTAGACAGCTGATCCTCTCTGACGTAACAACATTGGTAAGCAGTCTTCCTGACCTAAAGGGCCTCCCTTGCTGATTTTATCAAAACTTCATATAGGAAACCATTATTTACTCACTGATGATAAACATTTGAGGAGAGATTATTTATTTCATAGTCCTAGTGATTCTGATGCAAAAGAGATTTCTAAGTTTTCTATGGAAACATATGGACAACTTGTCTGCAATAAACTAGCGAATACTATACTGGCGTTCCTTGACATAGTATTTCTTTTTTTTTTTCACGGAACGGCCATAGAGACCACGCGAATATCATGACATTTGGCTTCTTTCTTGTTTTTACTTTCTTTCCACTTCTCTCTCATTATCTCCGAGTGCTGCTCCTCCGTCTACGCGACTCCCTTTCTCGAACTTTTCTTCTTAGCAAGAACCGTGATCTCCTTTAGTCTCTTACCATACCCCTCTCTGTCCAGACAGTTCCGATCCGTTATTCCAAGTCTTTCCGTTTCTTCCTTCATCTGCCTGATGTATCCTCCCAAGCTTTTGTATCTACGGATTTTTTGGAATATTTCCTTGTTAAGTCTTTCTGGGGCCATTCTTACCATATGTCTGTGGAATTTCAGTCTCCTGATCCTAATTTCCGTTTCTAGATCTCTTTTGTCCTTGTATATTTCCTGATTGGATCTTAGCCTGTATCCTTCTTTTGTCTTTTTGGGGCGGTAAATCCTTCTTAGAATTCTTCGCTCTATTCTCAACAATTTTTCCAGACTGGGGAGGAATGTGGTTTCCGTCCCGTATAGTATCACAGGTTTAACAACTGTATTGTAGTGTCGTATTTTCGCTTCCTTGGACAGGTTTCTCTTGTTGTATATGTTACTGGTTGCAAAACTTAGTTTTTCCAATTTGGCTATTCTTTCCTTGATACTTTCTTTTTCGGAACCATTATTACATATAGTCTCACCCAGGTATTTAAATTTATTTGTTACATTTATTGACCCGTATTTGGTTTCCACTGTTTTTTTCTTGAAGTCTGCGTCTGTGGTCATTAATTTTGTTTTATATTTTGCTTGACATAGTATATTATTTTTACAAGTAGCAGAACAAGAATATGTCCTTGTTATATTTGAATACTTATTCAAGTACTTGCATCTGTATTAGTGGAACACATAGAAATATGTTTATTTAAATTTGAAGTCATCTTCCTGTATAGTTAAGCCGAGAGGTACCCCTCACATTTTACAATTTAGTATATTGTAATTTGGTCCACAGATGAATGTTTCTTTATGTTTTTCCATTATCGTTACCACTTTGTCTTCAAAAAAATAAATGTTCACATCCCATTAAATCCAAAAATATTTTCACACCTCTTTCAATCTAAAAATAAGTACTTGTGCCTCCTTGATTAAATGAGTAACATTTATTGAAAAACAAACACTTATACAGAAAGAAAAGGAAGTTTCTTTTCAAGCTTAAACTTTCTTATTAACGTTTGCCTTTGTGTGCAAAAATGTGTATACTCATTTAAAAATGACAAAAAAGTATCTGAAAATTTATCATTATAATATACAAAATTTAGGAATGTAATTTAATATTAAAAATGTTATACAGCCATGAATCCTGGCACAGAAATTAATGATGTGGAACTTGGTTATTTGGAATCGGAAAACCCTCAAAACGGATATTTCTGTAGAAAATTTGGATTTAAAATTTTTTACAACTGCAATACTTTCTATTACAATATATATATACCATACATAAAAATATGATGGGTAAAAGTATAATTTGGATCAAATATACTACAATTTTGGTATCTTTGCTTATTTCTAGTAAAAAAAAAAAAAAAAAAATGAAGTCTACATAAATATTTTTTGAATATAACAAAAACAATCAGCGTATCGCACTATAGCTAATACTTATAAAACAATAGAATTTTGATAAAATCCACTTTATTTCTCATTAATAATTTACGATAGGAAACAACTGATTACTTTCTGAAGTCATTTAACCCACCATTACAACTTGTATGAAATATTTTCTTTGCTTCAGAATTACTAATAATATAATTTGTAGAAATAATCGCTGTCTTCTGAAAAAATTTAAAAATTTATTGGAATGCTTAGTGATTAATCTTATTAATCTTAACTGGTAATTAAATTTTAGAAGTCTTGTATATGAATTATTAGATCCACTTAAGTGACATGGATTACATAATAAAAGCAAGTATGAATGTATTAATTTTTAATTTTTTTCAACCAGAAAATAGATTATTCATAAAAAATAGCATTTATCAATAAGGTGATCAAACATATTACAGTTGCACTAAAGCAAGATGTTATTGTTATTTCTAAATATAATCTGTAACTTGTAAGTTAGCTTTTATTTTGTGCAGTATCAATGAAATAAATCTTAATTTTTCCAGGAGGATTCTAAGTTTTAGTTTATTTTAAGAGAAGAAGAAACCATTGCATTATTTTAAGGACAAAAAATAATTAGAATGTGCAGTCAATAATCATGTTTATTAAGTTTGCCAATGTATCGTCCCAAGCATATAAGTTATCATCATGGCAATGGTTTGAAGGCAACACAACAACTTTCTGTTTTGAACTGTCGAAGACAGTTTTTGTCATGCCTTCGAACCATTACTCAGGTGATGTCCCACAAATTTGGGTAGAAAAATCGGCAAACTTAATAAACGCCCCTTCAGCTAAACTCAACAAATTTCTTCTACCCTCCCTTCAAAAGGGGAGTGTAGTAGCTCAGTGGTAGGGTACTGAGCTTCCAATGCTAAAGATCCCAGGTCCGAAACCCAGCTCATGGCAGATAATTTATTTATCTGTTTCATTAGCCGTGAGGCGACCCTGGGTCAGGAGATCCTGGGGCACATCCAGCCTCTATAAAGTGGGTACCCTTAATAAAAAAATTAATTAAGGGGGAAAACATGGCGGTTGAGCGTGATCTCTCGGTCAAATCACCTCCGTGCACAACCGTTGACCTAGAAACAGTGCTTTTCCTAAATAGTACTGAACCCCAGATCCTTCATGGGTTGTAGTGGTACAGGTTTTTTTTTTTTTCTTTATTTCTCCCTTCAAAAATTTAGCAACAATGACCACTATGAGGTTAATAATTTCACGTAAAGAACAGTAGTTATCTCTCCATATCCCTGAAAATTGAAGTATACTAAACAGAGTAATTGATTTCTACTAAATAAAGTAATTATTATTGAAATATACTAAACAGAGTAAATGAAGAATAACTAAGCACCAGAACCTAAAATTAGTATAAATCAATTGCTCTGTTTAGCATACTTCAATTACTATGGTTACTTAATTACACTTCATTTAATCTTTTTATTCTGTTATAAGATTCATTCCTTTGTTGACATAATTATACTTCATTTAATCTTATTACTCTGTTATTAAATTAATTTATATACTTTCTATTCACACTGTTTATAGTTTTCATGTAACTCCCACAATTCTCTATATCCTTTTGTATCTTGTTCGTTTTAGCCCTGTAGAAGATCTGCATGGTTGGGTCGAAATGTCGGCTTGAAATAAAATATTTCAGACTGCCATCCCCTTCCTCAATAATATAAAACGGTCAACCATCGAGTATTTAACATGATTGCAGTACTTTTCCTTACTATATATTTCATACAGAATATTTTGGTTGGTAGGTTATTTTGATTTTATAGGCGCAAAACATCTATTCAATTTACTAATATTCTAGTATTCCATTTTGTAAAATGGAGATGCATCCTTATTGCAACTCTTTCCATTTAGCCATTGGTTAACTGATTTAAAAAAAAACAAAAAATCTTACCATGGGTTTAATAATGTTGATCGAATGAAAGTAATAAAAGTAGAAAAGAAACTAATAAATAAAAATGAAACTAATACAAAGTTACATACCTGATCCATTAGTCGTACATGGCTTAGAAGTTCTTTTTCGAACATCTTCTATGACAAAGACAGATCTAATATTTCCACACAATAAATCTACAGCTTTAATTAAACATTCCGGATAATCGCAATATCTTCCTGTTGGTTTCTTAATTTCATTTTCTATAATTTCGGTCACTAGATCTATGTTAGAAAAAAAAGTATCTATACTCTCACTTGCCGAGCCTGCATCAAGGTTACTAATTCTGAGGTTGGCCACGTGAATGGGGCTGATTTGATTCAATAGTGTGACTAAACTGGTCAATGATCTCTTCAACCTCTCCACATTCGTCCCATCTTTAAAATTTAATTTTCCTAACAAGTCTTTAGTAACTTTTAATAATTTAAGATCTCTAGAATTTTTAAAATGGACAGCAGGAGGATTGACTGTTTGTGATGCGGAATCTATACCGGATTCATGTATGACATTAACTGAGGTATTCTCTTTGACTCTAGCTGTGGTTCCTCCATGGATACATTCCACAACAGCAACATTGTTTTTTGGTGACGAAGGCATAGTGGTTTTTATATCTATTATAGGTCCGACTTGTTTTGTAAAATTAGGACGAATAACAACTAATGGAAGCTCTTGAATTTGGCACAACTTTTTGGCGTAATCATTCGTTTTGTTACTCCTTTCCTCTTTTGAAGAAACTACACTAATCAAATTTGTATTAGGTCTTAATAATAGAGGATCAGTATTTACAGAAACGTCATTATAATGTTTTTCTTTATATGTAGCGTTTAATTGTTCACTACTATCATCAATGTATAACTTGTTGCTTTTGTGGCGACATTGGTCTCTCTTAGAAGTTTCCTTTAAATGCTTCAAATGATTTCCTATGCCTTTATCTTTAGCACACAAGCAATAATGACAATTAGTTTTAGCATAAATCGGCTCTGGAAATTCTTCTCTAATATTTCTACTTTCAGGAATGCTTAGAGATGAAGATTTCGAGATGTAACGTGGATTACGTTTTGATGAATCCAATTTTGTATTAAATTTCTTTTGGTTAAGCTGTTTGGAAGGTATTTCCAAGTTAGACATAGTTTCAGTTGTACTTCCATAAGTTTGTCTTCCATATTTGACTGGGTTATTAAATGATTTATTAATGTATGGTTTTCTTAATTGGCTCGGTTGATTCTTCCTTATTTCTTGTGGTGTTTTTGAATCTGATCCCTGTAAAATTTAAAGAATATAAATAAATTACAAGAAAAAACAATAACTACAACAATCAAATAACCTCATGGATACATAAATGCATCTGTACAATCACAAACATGTATTACTCTCTTAACATAATATAATTATTGAGACAGAATGAGCTTAACATGTGGATATACAACCATAAAATAGTTTTCATAAATGAAGAGAAGAATAGTTGGGGTGTTCAGTCAAAATGGAAGGCAAAAATAAATTATAATATTTATTTTTTATTTTTTACATATGCCGACGTTTCGACCTGAAGTTCAGGCCTTCATCAGGGCTAAGAAAATAACCAGATAACAAGGTATGAGAAACATAAGTAATGATGGTAAAAAAGATAATAAAAAAAATAAAATTAAAAAAAAATTATTAGAAAAATAAAATAGATAAATATAAAGTAAAATGAAATTGTTAGAATAATGACTAAGAACTAAGAGATAAATAATAAAAACTGTTACAAAGTGTGGAATGATGAAGTAGGCATAATCAAAAAGGGGTGACAAAAGTGTTACAATGGGAACCTTAGAATAAAATGTAAAACATAAAAAAGAAATATAAAGTTATATAAGAAATGAAAATAAATAGTAAAATTAAAACATTGAGAATGGAGTAGTTAGATAGAAAATTGAGATATTGTAAAGTCTATCAAGATGTACAGACAATGTATAATATAATAAAGAGTTAAAAACAGAGAAAAGGAACGAAAGGAAGGAGGGAAGAAATTGAGAAAGCTGAAATAAGAAATAAATAGAAGAAGTACTACCTGTCTCCTTAAGTGTCGAAGGGAGAATAAAAGTCGTTACAAGGGAGGGGGAGAGAGAAGAGATGTGTACACATTTATTTATTTCTTATTTCAGCTTTCTCAATTTCTTCCCTCCTTCCTTTCATTCCCTGATAAAGGCCTGAACTTCAGGTCAAAACGTCGGCATATGTAAAAAATAAATATTATAATTTATTTTTGCCTTCCTTTTTGACTGAACACCCCAACTATTCTTCTCTTCATTATCCACGACAGTCAACCAATCACCAATTATAGTTTTCATAAATGTTTCATTGCTGCTGTTTTAGATTTCTTAATCTCCCTTCCTTAAAATTTATTAAACAATTTGTCCCAATTTATTTTATTAGGACAAATGTTTAAATTTTTAATAAAGTTAAATAGCTGAAAAACATCCTGGATTTAAATTTGGGATTATATGCTGACACTATCAGAAAACTGATAGATTGCAGAGAGTTTACTTTCTACGAGTACAAACAACCATGAGCATACCCGTAGTAGCTGGGCCATGTGGAGGAACTGCCTCTCTTCCCTTCCAATAATTAAGACATATTAAATAAAACAACAAATCTGTATCTTGGAAATTTTTGTATTTGTTAAAGGAAGCCAATGTTCCATAACATTGAGCTATTAAAATTTGTTTCTTAGTTACTAAATCTGTTCTCCGGAGAAAAAGAACACCAAATCACATTTCTGTATTTGTTCAGAGAGCCAATTTTCTATAAATTTGAGCTATTAAAATTTGTTACTTATTTACTAAATCATTTAATAAAGAAAAAAAATGGACATGGTGTCTTTTACTTCCATGGGTACAGAAATAATAACCCATTTATAAATAAATTTCTGAAAAATTTGTTTAAAGCAACAGGTCAGTTGTAATATTTATATGTTTATTTCAACATTCGAAATAAACTAATTCTGAAATAAAGATTAATCCCTCTCGCTTAAAGAAACAATCCCTTTCAAACAATAACAAAGTTTAATAAAAATCCTTGAAGACTTACAGATATTATTTAAAACCTAAAAGTTAAAATTTTAATGCCTGGTTCAAAGGTTATTATTTATTTACATGAAATACACAGTTTTTCAAAAAATAATCAATATTTTACATGATTTTTATGATAACATAAAGATAAAAATGTATAGGTTACTTTAAACAAATCATTCTCATCACACAAACCTTTCTTTCGGATGGTCAAATAAAGATAATAAAAATCCAGGGCAAAAATCTCCATCAAATCAATTTAATTAAACAATCTATTTACTTTTATTTAAAATATTAATTTTTTAAATTATTATGTTTTCGAGAAATAATAAACTGAGAGGTATCAACAAGCCATACCATGACAACCAGAGCATGGCAACTATGATCAAAACACTAATCTTATATGGTTAACAACAATGATATAGGAGCTAAAGAGAAGTGGCTTGTGTTCAGTTAGCACAGTTATGAAATACTCAGAATTTTGTAAATAACACTATAAAAATATAGATCTAAAATATATTTATAATTCTATTTTAAGTAAATTGGTTTAAGTTGGTTTGTTATGATACACCAACACTAAAGTTATTTTTAAAAATAACCATTACATTCTCACAAAGCTGTCCGAAAATTTAAAACGGATTAATAGATGTACTTGGGGTGTCCATGATTTCCATTATAAGCATAATTGTTTAACTTATAATAAATTAATGGGCATAAAATTGTACTGATAGCGTTTACAATAAATAATCTTCAAATTCTTCACCTAACTCATTTTCAAAATTCAGAAAGCAAATCGTAAATTTTTGCAAATCAGCAAAATTATATTTAATAACTTATGATATTAATTAGAAATTGAGAATATAAGACATAGCTAACAAAAAGTAGAAAATAGTATACAGAAAAGCGAACCTTGGGTTTTTGAAATGTCACTTCATTAAACTTTGCTTCAACAAGATGTTCAGTATAACCGCTGTCACTGAAAAAAAAAATTATACATTTTAAAATTTCAATAATTTTAATAAAACTATTTTCATGAAGTGAAAATAATTTTCTTCATACCTGAATTAATTAATTTTAATAAGAAATAAATATTTCATGTTTGAGGCCTTTAAACTCTGCCTCATTGTTTCTATTAAATTAATCCTGTACATGATACATCAATATTTCTTTCATTGTCCATAAAAATTACTTCTATCACTTTAGGAATTTAAAATAACTAGTGTTCGCCCAGTGGTCAAAATTCGACCATAGGCATTAAAAATTTGAGGAAAAGATATAATTAAATAAAAAATAAATTAAATAAATAAAGAGTAAATCACGATTCAAAAATCCTCATTTATTAATACAAACAAAATTTCAATTTCAATTAAAAATCGAGCTTAAGTCATTTAAAATTATTTATAAGTAATACAAAATAAACTCATTCAAAAATATTTAATTTTCATTTTAATTTATGTGTATTATTATCACAATAAATTAATGTTATGATTAAGCAAGTAAAAAATAAATTTAAATTAGCAATTTCAATTCACGTTTTTTGCAAAAGAAAAAGTACTAAATGTTTAAAATGATAATGTTGGTATTATCAATAAAAAAATGTGTACTTTTTGAGTTATTCGCAAATAAAATACTGAATTCATCATAAAAATGTATGCAGCTTGTTTTCGGGAAAGTATGTTATATACATAAATTATAAAGGTTTCAAGGGAAGACTTTAGCCAAGTTTCATTGAAATCGTTGAAGCCGTATTGGCGCTACATTCTAAAGCGGATCACGTTTTTCGGCTGCCATTTCGAAAGGAAAGACCCGATGATAATGAAACGTATACAAAAAAACTTCTAAATATTATTGCGACGTTGTTTCAAAATTAAAAAGAAATTGGTGAAGAACTTTCGGAGATAAGCCGTTTTGAACAAACTACCATTTATATTTTTGTTTACATACTATTTAATATTTTTATTTATTGATAACACTAAAGCTCGTCAATATCTATCAAACAAAAAAAGAAGGAAGAAAATCGGTTGAATAATAGAGGAGTAAAAGGGGCTGAACCAATTTGTGTTTGCCTATTTATATAATGATTATGTATCATTTATTTTTATATTTTTTCTAATGCCATATTTTTGATTTTTAGGTGAAAGATAAATAAAGGTATTTAATATAAATAAGATAGATAAAGAGCGATCGCCCCTTTCTCGCAAATAAAAATAGAGAGGGGGCGAGAATATTGTTTTGCTCCCAATATTTCAAAGAACAAAAATTGATCTACATGAATGAATAAGATATATAAACTAAAATCAATTATGGAAATAACAAAAGTGGATTAGATGGCTAAGCTAAGGCCTAGAAGTAGGTATACAAGTATTCTACCACGCCCTATTATAGAAATTTTAGTTTATATTCAAATATAATTATATATAACAACATAACCTAGCATTTTATGATTCATTCATTTGCACCTTTCCATTTTATGTAAATACTTTATCATATTTTCTGCAGCAAATTTGAAGCATCGAAGAATTGAGAGTTCGTCTCACTGTCTCAAAGCTTTAAATAAATATATGTATTTCAATTGCTATGTTAACATATTTTTAAATATATCCATAAAAAAATTAAATAATTATGTTAATTATCACTCATTATTTTTATACATAATATACTTATAAGTTATATTCTATTATACAGGTGTTTCAGAGTTAAGTGACCAAACTGCAAAAAATGAACTAAGGACCTCAAAAAAAGAAATTTTCTCTGAAGGTATGTCCGCAAACGCTTTGTTTAGTTGATATTCACACCTAAAGATTTTCGTTGTTATGAATTATTTATGTTACATGAAATTTATTTGTTCTGACTATTTTATTAATTAAATTTCAACATTAACATTCATATTAAATGTTGTTCAAAGTGATTTCCTTGAACATTAAGACTGGCTCGGAATCTTTCTTCAACAGCAGCAGTGCCAGAACGGCACTGGATATATGTTATCGTTTCACAAGATTCAATTATCCATCTTCGTAAGGAATTAAGGTCATTGACTAGACTTGCATAGACTTTTTGTTTAATGTCATCCCTGACAATAAAATCCAGTGGTGTCAGGTCTGGAGAGCTTGTAGGCCAAGCCACTGGTCTTGCACGGCCAATCCATTCAATGGGATATGGGATATGATTGAGCATGTCCATTCAATGATCTTAATTCCTTACAAAAAAGGATAATTGAATCTTGTGAAACAATAACACATATCCAGTGCCGTTCTGCCACTGCTGCTGTTGAAGAAAGATACCGAGCCTGCCTTAATGCTCAAGGAAATCAATTAGAACAACATTTAATATGAATGTTAATGTTTACATTTAATTAATAAAGTAGTTAGAACAGATAAAATTCATATAATGTAAATAATTCATAACAACGAAAATCTTTAGATGTGAATATCTCCTAAACAAAGCGTTTTCGGACATACCTTCAGAGGAAATTTTTTCTTGTTTTGAGGTCCTTTGTTCATTTTTGTAGTTTGGGCACTTAACTCTGTATAACAAAGAATATGTTTATTAGTCGACCAATGAGAAATCAGGTAGTAGAAAATTCGAAAGGAATCTTTAGATAAAATTATCAATTTTACAAATTAACTGTGCAGTTGACAAGATTGAAAGATTTTATTAAGGAGCTTACTATAAAAATTATGTCTAGTTAAATTATTACCTCTCATCCAATGAAACAGGACTGAAAACAGAAGATGGTTTTGCAGCTTTATTGTAAATGCAAGCTCTAACTTTTTCCTCAGCTTCAGTTGTAAGTTCATTGATTTGTTTGATTAATTTTTCGGTCCTACTAAAAGGTTTTGGTTCTAATTCCTGTTCTGCTCGTTCTTGTTCCAACACTGTCTTGTGTTTCTTTTTCATTTTCTCAAATTCCTAGAACAAAATAAATAAAATAGTAAAAAGATTTGTTTAGATTAAGACTTCTCAACCTTGAGGACTTCCCTTCAAAAGAGGTGAGAAGCAAGATAGGATATAGGTAACGAAAATGCTAAAAACAAAACTGAGATAAAGTACTTTTGAAGTATAACTACAACTAGTGTTCGCCCAGTGGTAGAAATTGGATAATCATTACTGAAAATTTGAGGATAACATATATAAATTTGTATGTTACCAACATTTTTTTCTGCTCTTATACATTCATTCATTTATATCTCAGAACATCCACTTTTATATTTACTTACAATACTAAACAATTTAGTACCATTTTTGAAATGAAAATATTTTTTTATTATCCTGCGACTGTTGTCCCTTTAGGACAAATTATAGATACAGAATAAATGCCTTTGTGGCCATACATAAAATTAATTATTTACAATTCTTATTAAGATTAAGATTTTGGAAAAAAGAATAAAACAAAACAATTATACTAAAAACATACTGATATGTATAATACAAACGTGAAAATAAAATAGCATAAGTAAAGAAAATCATTTCTGGGGTAACTTTAAAAAGTTCTCTTATCTACATTTCATGATCAATCGGGTTGGGAAAGGAGTAGGTGGTTAAAAAGGAGAGATTTAAATGAGGTAACTGATTACACATACCGGATATCGGAAGGGATGGTATTCCAGAAGGAGACTGCTTGAATTATAAAGGATTTGTCAAAAGCTGCAGTTCGGTGGGGAGGTGGATAGAGGTCAGAGGTACGAGATCTAGTGGGACGGGATTGAATGGAATATTTGAATTGTAGGCTGTGAAAAAATATAGGAAGGCCGCTGAGTTCTGATGCTTGGTATAGAAAGGTAGCAAGGAAGTACAAATGGCGGTTGGATGGATAGAGCCACTTCAACTTGGTGTAATACTGGGTTATATGCGTATCTCTTGAGATTCCGAAAACAAAACGTATCAGGCAGTTCATTAGGCGTTTAAGTTTGGCCACAAACTCTCCCAAGAGTGCGCCGTTCACCAGACAGCCATAGTCGAAGTGGGAGAACACAAGGGAGGAAACCAGGAGTTGAAAGGAAATTTGGGAGATGTGTGGTTTCCAGGAGAGGGTTTGATCGAATGTAACACCAAAGTTCTTTACGGAAGTATGGAATGAGATAGGTGAGTTGTTCAGTTTTCATAGTCAACTTTTAGGCATTCATAGGTGAGTTTTATACTTATAATTTATCCGCAAATAAAATTCTGAATCCATCGTTACTTTTTTCTCTGCCTCTTTTCAGAGAAGTATATTATATCCATAAATTAATACAGCTGTTTTGGTGCTAGAGTCTATAGGGACACAGACAGTTGTCATTTCTAATAAATCTCCATCATCACTCCTCCAATTAACAAAAAGTGCCCTCAGGACTCCTCACCCTCTCCGACCCTTTTCTCTATTTATATTAGTGATCTTCCTTACTCCATTAATCACTCCTGTTACCACTTAGATGCTGATGATTTCCAAATTTAGCAATCTTTTCACCTTTCTGAGATGGCCGAGACTACCCAAAAGCTACAAGAGGACATTGACTGCATCAACAGATGGGCAGAAATAAATAAGTTAAAGCTGAACACAGATAAAACTAAAGCTATTCTCATTGGGTCCAGGCATCCCATTAGTTCACTTCCTTATTCTCCTCTACTCTACCTCAATAACTGCCCCATCCATTTTTTACCAACACTCAAAAACCTAAGAGTTATCTTTGATCAGAACCTTTCCTGGAATAACCATATTTCCCAGATAACCCAAAAATCCATAACTGTCCTTAAACAATTCCTGAGATTCCGTGATTCGATTCCTCAAAAAACAAGACAGCTCCTTATAACCTCTCTCGTTTTCCCACTTTGACTACGATTGCTTGGTGTATGGAGGGCTGCCTGAAAGACTGGAGGTGAAATTGAAGAGACTTATGAACTGTTTTATAATATTCATCTTTGGAATTCCCAGGCGTTCTCATGTTTCCCACTGGTATACCGAGTTGAAGTGGCTTTATCCTACTTCCTGACGACAATTCCTTCTTGGTGTTTTCCTTTTCCAGATCCTAAGAACCAAAAATCCTTCCTATATCATGAAACTCCTTACTCTACGTTTCTCTATCCACTCTCTTAATACCAGATCTCAACCTATTCATTGATATATCCTTCTCATAAAACTACATCCTTCAGTAAATTCTTAGTCATTCGTGCTACCTCCTTCTAGATTTCTTTACCCATCACCATACAGCAATCCTCATCCTTAAATTCCTTCAAACTGCTCTTATTCCACCACCTACTTCATTTTCAAACTTGCAAATAACCTTGTTGGGGGGGGGGGAGGGAGCAATTGTAAATAAACCTTTTTGGCCTTCCGCTTTGTCGGGGGACTAGGTTATTTGTTCATCAATACTAGACTTTTCAATGAACAATTTGTCCACTGCACAATTGAGTACAATTCATAGTGCAACTTTACATTCCTATATATTCCTTCTCATTCCCTCACTCAATACTGGAGACTATGTACTACAAACTTCCGTACCTATATAATACTTACTGGATTCTGTAATTACAACTACTCACAAACAATTAATCGACAATTAAAGTTTCATTCAGTACTAGTGTTAAAGTGTTTACTATTGTTATTTAGGTATGATTGCGATAACAATTGAAATTAATGTTCAAATGATCTCTTTGTATTCTGTCAAACCAGACTAATGGACCAATGTTTTGTATCATGTTATTATTGTTCTTAGGAGATTTTAGTCCCAGAATAAAATTATTTTTTCATTTCATTTTCATATTGTTCGGCAACCATTTTGAAACGAAAGGCTGGATGGTAATAAAATATATACAGTGGCTCACAGAATAATTGATACACCCCATAGAAGAAAAAAAATACTTCAATGTTTACAGTAAATAAATTAAACCAGATGCTCTTCAACAGATTTATTTATAATCTCATTTTAAATATGAATAAACTTTTTATTTTCTTACTCCTGTTGACTTTGACTTTTTAAGTCATGAGTCTTCTTCAGCAGTTTGTGGCTGATATAGGCGACAGTAGTGATTCTTTTGTTCACTCTTCTTGGAGATATCCAAGGAGCAGGTGGTTTATTAACCATCTAATAACTAACGGGATCACATTCCACACCCTCTTCATCAGGAACTTTCCTGAAGGATGGTTGGCAATCTTTTGCTTCAATCTTCCACCCAGTTTTTTTATAGGATAGAGGATTACCAGCTCTATACCCAATCCCCAACCTGGAGGACCAAGAGCTATGGTTTAAGACACAGGGGTAGTTCACTTACCTATACCATGTTTATATTTCCACTATAAAGTGAAGATATCCTACCCCAGAAGCCCCCATACATTCCCACTCCAAGAAACATAACATAAGAAAAGAACATAAAACATAACATTACATAAGAACAAGAAAAAGAACATAAGAAAATAACACTTTACTAGGATATTTATCGATTACAATAAACTCAATAAAATTAAAATATTCAACTGTGATTATTTAAAAAAAATAATAAAAAAACCTGAATAATTTTACCTCACAGTCAAAATGCCTCACTGCTTATTAACTTTTAAATACTATTAATTAAGTTTAACACATTGTAGATAAGCCATTATTTTCTACCACTCCTTTCAGTCTGTTTGTAACGAAGTTGACCAATGTTTTGTTGATTCCGGGCTTAGCCTGTTCCATTCTTCGAGGAGATATTTTTTAAAGACTTCTTTGCTAGAAATTTGGTGCTTTCAAATTTCTACCTCCAATTTTACACATAGGTGTTCTATCACATTTGGATCAGGTGACTGTGGTGGTGCTTTTATAACTTTGGGGCAGTTATAAAGTAGCCATTCCTTAACTAACATGGCAGTGTTTGGGTTCATTATCCTGTTAAAAATTAAATTTGTTTTTTAGCACATATTTTCCACAATTTCTTTCAAGTTTCTTCTCAAATTGTCAAAGTAAACATGTATATTCACTATATCATGTGAATATTTCCATTATAAAGTGAAGAATACTTTTCAACAAACTAAAATCATTATTCTTCTCCAATAGCTCCATCTCTTGGTACCAATCTTTTCTCTCACAACGCACCCAAGCAGTCTCCATACCTAATCGACAACTATCTGACTACCTTACTTTATCCTCTGGAGTTGCCCAAGGATCTAGCTTATCTCCTCTCCTTTTTAGTTCCTACATTAACGACCTATATAAATCAAGTTTCCATTGTTTCCACCACCTTTATACGATTCTCAAATATATCTATCCTTTTCTCCCTCTGAGCTTTTGGTAGCATTTACTAAGATCCAAGAAGACCTACATCGAATCAGTGCCAGGGCAAACTTAAACGGATTAAGGTTAAATGCGGCTAAAACTCAGGCCATTGTCATTGGTTCCAAGCCCCTTCTTAGATCCTATTCCAACTTTCCCCGTAATTGGTACCCCGAGATACTCCCAAGTGTCTCACCACTACACTGAGTTAAAGTGGCTCTTCCCCTCCATTCGAAGACAATATTTCCTAGTTATGTTCCTCTATCAAATCATCAACAATCATCATCCTTCTTACGCCTACAACCTTCTCCAATTCAAGTCCTCAGTCGACTCCCTTATCACAAGATCTCGACCTTTACATTCCTTCTCACAGATATGCCTCATTCCAAAACTTGTTTATTGCTCACTCTGTTAATTTCTAGAATTCCCTTCCTAACCAAATTCACCATTCTCTCTCCCTATCTACATTTAAAACTCTCCTATTGCAATTTCTATCCCAAAAACAGTCAGACACTCCTCTCCCCCACCCCCTAACCCCGCTAACCTTCTATGTAAATTTACATATTATTCAAAATGATTCACATATTGATATATTTACATATAATTCATCATTTAAATACTATCAGATACGTCTTCTTTTCCTTTTTTTTTTTTTTTATGCAGAAACACAGAGTTTATTGCTAAGAAGAATGTAATGTATTTTTTATTTATTTTTTTTAAAAGTGTATACTTATATGTTACCACTGTACATAGTATTAAGTGTCTTGGCATGGTTTCAAGTGTTTTGTTTATAGATTTTTTTAATTTTGTACATAGTATGTTTAACTAATATTTTCTGTACTTTTTTTTCTTTACTTTTTATGTTTGTTTTTACTTAGGCCAGATATAATACTTTAATTTTGTACTTTTTTGTTATTCTAAAGGGACTTTGTCCCAGAACAAAATTCTTTTCTATTCTATTCTAAAGATTTCCTACACCAGAAGCCACCATACATCCCCAATCCAAGAAATAAAAAAAGAACATAAAACATAACATAACATTACAACATAAGAAAATAATGTAAGGAAATGACTTTTCTAAAGCCTTCGATACCATTAACCATTCCATCCTCTTTTCCAAATGAAAATCATTATCCTTTTCCAATAGCACTATTCTTAGGCTTCAGTCTTTCCTCTCTCAACGTTCACAAGCTGTTGCTACCCCTAATTAACCCTTGTCTTCTTATTTTACTCTATCCTCAGGAGTGGCCCAGGGCTAGCCTCTTCTTTTTAGTTCCTATATAAACGACCTCCATAAATCAATCCTCCACTGTTTCCACCTCTATTTCCACCTCTATGCCGATGATTCCTAAATTTACTTTTCCTTCCCTCCCTCTGAGTTGTATGATGCGTTTGCCAAAATCCAAGAAGATCTTAAGTACATCAGCACCTGGGCATACATAAATGGATGAAGATTAAACACTGATAAAACTCAGGCCATTGTCATTGGTTCCAAACTCCTTCTCAAATCCAATACCAACATTCCTATTCTGTATCTAAATAACCATCCCATCACATTCAGCTTCTCAGTTAAAAACCTAGGCATTTTCATAGACCAAACCCTCTCCTGGAATTACCATATTGTCCACATTTCTCGACGGTAAATTTGTACCCTTAAACTATTCCATCGCTTCCGACATCTCCTACTTATACCCACACGTAGACTCCTAGTTTCCTCCTCCTCATCTTCCCCCACCTTGACAACGGTTGCGTGGTGTACGACAGCCTCTCGGTGGAACTTGGGGACAGACTAAAAAGAATTATGAATAACTTAGTTAGATTTGTCGAAGGGATCCCGAGACGTTCCCGTGTTTCGCACTTCTATGCCCAGTTAGGGTGGCTCTTCCCTCCTTCAGAAGACAATACTTCCTTGGCACATTCCTTTACCAAATAATCTACAATCATCGCCCGTCCTATATATACAATCTCCTCCAATTTAAATCATCTATCCACTCCTTCTTCACAAGATCATCCTTCTGACCTTTACACCCCTTTCCATAGATCTCCTTCATTTCAACATTCCTTTATTGTCCTCTCCACCACTTTTTGGAATTCCATCGTACTTAAAATCCGCCATGCACCATCCTTATCCACATTCAAAACCCTCTTATTCTAATTCCTCTTCACAATCCAATCAGATGCTGGTTAATTATGTATTATGTAACAATTTTTTTTTTTTATTCTCATACACCATTATCAGTTTTATTTAATTTTTTGATTATTATTTATGAATTGGAAAGACTCAGTAATAGATTCAGTATCACTTTTGGCATAGCACTGTGATGTGGTGCATAAAAAATAAGCGATTGTTGTTTTTATCCATTTTTTTTTTCCATCTACAAGATTGTGCATATTTTAGATGTATTTCATTTTTACATATATATCTTTTCTTATCTCGTGTTTGTTTATAGTTTACAATACCATCGTGTATTGCATAACATATATAAATAATTTATCTTCTTTTAGTTAGTTTTTTTTTTGTCACAATTGTTTTCTCATAAAATTAATTTAATGTCCCTTCCTAGTTGTATTCATCTATTCATTCTTATTTTATATCTCTTATGTTGGGATAATGCAATATTTTGATCCCGTTGCTCATCTTCTGTCGTTAATATACCTTTAATCTATGTATACATTTTGTATGTTTTAGCTGTTTTATGTTTTAATATAAAAAGTCAATACTTTTTATTTACATACTTTTGATATATTTTATTTTCTGGAGGTTTTGCTTTTTTTTTCTATACAGGTAATCCTTTTTTAATTTTTTTTTTTTTTTTTGTTATTTTTTCCAGTACAGAAGATTTTATTTTATTTTTAGTTGTATACATATCATGATTTAAGTTGTTGTATATATTGTTTGAATCTTTAAGTTAGTTTTTGACCAGATATGTATTTTTTCTTTTGTAACTGTTCATTATTGTTATTCTAAGGGGACATCATCTCAGAATAAAGTTTATTTTCTATTTCTATTTCTAATCTCCATTTAAAAAAAGAGACCTTTTTGCACTAGTGATGGACGCTCTGAAATTAAATTGTTCTAGTAATGGACAGGGGGTCGGTACCAGTAACAGACATACCTTAGAAAAATTCTAAAATATTTATTTAACTACAAAAAAGATAAGATGACATAAATGTTCAACTTATTCTTAGCAAAACTGTTAGTAGGAAGGTATGAAACACACTGATATCAAGAGCACTACAGAAACAACAATGATAGGCATTTTAAAATTTTCTTTTAGATATTCGTTCATAATGATTGTTCATCAATCTAGAAATAACTGGAACCTTTAAATCAATAAGGAAGCTTATTATTTACATTTAAAGTCCAACCTGTCCATCATTTAAAAAATAAACAAAATTATTAGAAAAATATATTTTAAATTTCTTACTAAGTAATGATCCAATGGGAAATCAGCTGCTCTCTGTTCCATGATTGCCTTTCCCTGATCTACTTGCTCTTGAAATTTACTCCTGAAACAATAAAATGCCATGAATTCTTAAGTTATTAAATTTAAAATTAAATTATTAGAAAAATAAATAATTATTGAAAATATCAATTTAATTGATATTGATATTTATTATATTATTCTACAAAGACATGAACTTCACGATATCATGCAACACCAAGACCATTCATGATGCCTGGAAATGAATACTATACCCCTAAATTAGTTATAGTAATTAATAATAATGCTAATAAATAAATAAAATAATTTTGTCCAGGAAGCCTGGTTATCGGACATATATGTGTATAAATCATGTAGTTCGTTTTTTTAAATATTACTATGATAAAAAAGACACTACCGCATCTACCAGATCAGGTACTGTTACATTGGTAGGTGATATACTAAGATTTAGGAGGTCATTCCTTTTTATATCGATCATATGAAGCCTTTATAGCTCCTACAAAAGCAAAATCGTTGACTAATTTCCTCTTTTTAAGACTATTTTCTAAAAAGTCAAGAATAATATTTTACCAGAAAAATTCTAACCTATTTTAAAAAGGTAATTAAAGAAATTGTTCATTGAATAATTTTTTAAGACCCAAGGAGTATATTTAGATTAATTAATGTGATTAGATTTATATTTATTCTCGTTTTAATTTCAAGAAGTACTATCATAATTGGTAATTGGTTGACTGTCGTGGATAATGAAGAGAAGAATAGTTGGGGTGCTCAGTCAAAAAAGGAAGGCAAAAATAAATTATAATATTTATTTTTTACATCTGCCGACGTTTCGACCTGAAGTTCAGGCCATCATCAGGGCTAAGAAAATAACCAGATAACAAGGTATGAGAAACTTACATCATTACTTAAGTTTCTCATACCTTGTTATCTGGTTATTTTCTTAGCCCTGATGATGGCCTGAACTTCAGGTCGAAACGTCGGCAGATGTAAAAAATAAATATTATAATTTATTTTTGCCTTCCTTTTTTGACTGAGCACCCCAACTATTCTTCTCTTCAAGAAGTACTATCATTTATATTTTTATTATTAAGCTTTAAAAAATTATGTTTAATCAGAATGTTTTTTTTTTTTTTTAACAAATGATTAAATTAGCAAGGTTATTTATAAAGTTAGAAAACTTCTAGCAAGCATATTGAATCAAAACTGAAACATTCCTTAGAAACATAAATCACCATTCAGAAAATAATAAATAAAAGAGATGTTGTTTCTGAATAATAATGTATATATGAATGAATGAAAATTAAAAAGAAACATGTAAGTAAAACATAATTATAAAATAAATCCAGAACAAAAATTAACTGCGATTAAATCAATCTATGTTTAAGAATTAACTTTGAGAAATTATTTAAGTTTAAACTCTCCATTGATTTGCAATCAGTTACTAAAGTAGTAACAGTTTATTTAAAAATTCTGAAACGAAAATGGTGAAATATTACTTTGTGGTCAATCAATCAATGAAATATCTAGTTAAATATTCTACCTAGTTCACTTTGGTTAATTTTCCTTTTTTATTCTAAGGGCCATATTTCTGTCATAATTAAATCATTAAAGTATGTTAGCAAAATGATAATTTATTATCAGTAATCTTATGAATGAATACAAATATTTTATTACTACTAGGCGAGTACCCCCTGTCTGCCTAACCCCCAACCTCCATTTTACAAATTATACAACTATTCATTTAATTGTACTACTTGTTGCCAATAAAGAGATTCTATCTTAAATCCATAAATTATTTTGAGGGTCTCTAATATATTATAAAAACAACATATCAGATTGAAATTTATAAATTTTCTTTACAATAAAGTTATTCAATTTAAAAAAAAAAAAAAAAAAAAAAAAGAAATGAGAATTAAACGATATGACTTAATTTTTCTTGTTATCAAATTATAATCCAATTTTTTTTTCAAATCTAATCTTTTATAAAAATGATAATGTTTCTCTATAATTGAAAAGAATGCACTTAATTGTCGTTTCCATAAAGTTATAATTCAATTTTAAAAAGATATCGTTTTTATTAAGGCGATAATCTTCCCAACTAATTAAAAAAAAAGTATAAATTTAATTTCTGAAATAAAGTTTTAATGCAACTTAAAAAAACGAAACTTAATCAGAGAGGCTGAGGCGGACCACCATCTCTCCTCTAATCCCTCCTCTCTCCCAAGAAATGTCACATCCATCAGAATCTTTGAAGACTATCATTAACTTCAGTGACATTATTTCGATGGTATATATAATAATGAAGAAATTGAGATAAGTTTAAATTTTGATCTTAGTGGTTAATTATGTTGCTCATTTAGTAATTAAAGATAGATATTTATTATGAACAACCTTATATTGGTTATTCATTATAAGTGATATCCTAATTTAACTTTTATATTTAATCAATAATAGATTAAGGTTTAAAAGATCACCAATACTCCCACTAATACAATTCATAAGAAAAAAAAAAGTCTAACATTTTACAATGTTTTGTATTTTAATAGACATTTTGGAAATTTGAAAATGGCTAGAAGCCAAAACATTATAAAATATTGAATAAAAATGTTTTTCTTGTTAAAAATATATAATTTGTGAAATGTTTGTTTATTTATTTCGATATCTAGGCGCAAAACATCCAGGTCATCAGCGCCAGATCAACTAAATAACACTACTTTTATACTGTTCAGGTGGTTGGTACAAAAAAAATAAAATAAAATAAAAAGAATTAATAGAATAAAATAAATTTTAAAAAAGGATAGAAATAAAAAAAAGATAAAAAAATAAAATAATTAATAGAATAAAATAAATTTTAAAAAAGGATAGAAATAAAAAAAAGATAAAAAAATAAAATAATTAATAGAATAAAATAAATAAATAATGAAAATAATAGCCACTTATAGATAATAAGAAAAAAATCAATAAATTAATAAATCAATGAACTTTTAAAATTAAAAAAAAAATAAATAAATCTGCAAAGGATCATTAATTATAAATTTGTTATTTATGTTTTATAATTTTTTCGTTGTCTAGAAATGAATGAATGAATTAAACAAATAAATTTGTGGGAGTATTGTTGGTCTTTTAAACCTTAATCTATTGCATATTAAATATAAAAATTAATATTTTATATACTGAGTTTGTTAGAAAGAAAGTGGCTTTCACAATACTGTTTGGAGACAATCGGTGCACAACAATATGAAAAACAGAGGCATAAAATAAGTTTATAATATTTAACTAATTATCTCATGAAAGCTATTGATTGTTATGGTACATAATTAACATCTATTTAGCACATCTTATAAAATCTATCCAAAAATTTATAATTATATGATGTGCTTTCATAGACTTCATTCAAGAACAAACAATCGCTACTGTGGACTTCCCCTTTTATGTAATTTTTGGACTGAGATCACTGTCATTCCGACCAGTTTTAATGGTAAGATGTAATTGGAAGAATTGTTGCAGGCATTCAAAATATGTCTACTGACTGAGGGAAAATAATGAATTCTTCAAACTTCTTATTGATAGTAATAACAAAGGACCTGTGTAAGAAAGTCAAGAAAAAGCTCCTTGACCACTATGAACATTGAAGCAATAACTTTCGAAAAAATACCACACCTTAATTTCTTAGAAATCTCACTGCACAGTTACTCAAAACACACATGAATTAAATAATTTCTAACAAAAGATATCCAACAAGATGATGAACCATTTTCAATTTCCAAAGGAAATGAAGATAAGATAATATACTTAAAAATAAAATAAAATCTTTCTATAAATGATATGGGTAGACAAATTTGGTCATTGCAGAATGATGTCCAGCATTTTAAAAATTATTACCACACCTTAAGTCATGTTCAAGTACTCGTTGAGTACTTGAACACCCTCAGTGCTCAAACCACGCCCTGAAGATGACCCACATGTTTGGGTTGAAACGTTGGCAAAAATAAAAAGTTTTAAAAAAGACTGCGTCCTGAATATTTATCACCCGTGATATGTAGAACAGTCGACTAACTTCCTTAAAAAATTAATACTTTAACGCACGTCTGAAATAAGTTTAATAATTTTAATGAACAAATTCAATTAATATAATTTTGAGTTCTGTTAATAGATATAATATTTTTTTCAATTTATTTATTTATTTATTTCAAAACAACAAAATAAAATTGGTAAACAAAATGTATTAAAACAAAGTAGATATTTACACAATTAATTTTAAAATTTTAACCGGAGAAAGATTGAGCAGGTGGATAATTTCCAATATCTGAGTGCTTATCTCAACGAAAGCGGTTACATTGCTGTGGAAATTACTCGGAAAATCGGAACAGTATTTTGTTCAATTCAAAGAGGTTTTCTGGAAAAAAAGAGAGGTCATCAAGAAGAAAAATGACCGTCCGTAAATCGACATTTCTTCCTATCCTTTCATAATCTTCCGAATCATAGACCCTCACATCGAAACACAAAATTCGAATCCAATCCATGGAAATGTGTTCCTTCTTAAAGTGGGTGGAGAGGTTTGAAGAGATAGAGTCTGGAACACGATCATACGGGCTAGCGTCAAAGTTAAAACGGCCAAGACCATTCTGGAGAAACAAATACAATCTAAGATGGTTTGAACATCTCCTTAGGATGGATCAAGAAAGAACAGCCAAGAAGACCAACAAGACCTATGTGGAGGGAAGGAGACCTAGAGGAACATCTCCTAGGAGGACAGTGTCCAGGAGGGAAGCTATGGATAGAGGCAAAAGAGAGTTGGTTAGAGATCGAGACACTTGGCCCAGACTCTACAAACAACCCCATACGGCATAGTGCTACTAAACGGGAATTAACCATTATGATGATGAATTTTAAAACCGACAAATTATATATATATATATATATATTTTTTTTTTTTTTTTTTAATGATTAATTTCAGTCTTAATTGTTTTATTCACAAATTCTTTTTATTTTAAATTTTTAAAAGAGTGAAAGATAACTGCAGCTTTATTAATTAAAAAAGAATAACTTCAGAATATCAGCATATTTAATGATAGTTCTCTTGATGTTTTTTCAGAGCCTGATAAAATAATACTACTAAAACCAGTCAATAGAAAATACCAATTAATAAAACATTAAGCTAAGGTATGTTATTCATATAAAAAATATTTAACTAACTGAGGATATTTATGAGGAAGAAAAATAATAAATAAATATAATCTTAAAAAATAAATGAAACTAAAACAGGATAAATTATAGTATTAATTTCATGTGATCATGACCTGTTTTTCATTAAAATTGCAGTAGCAAGGAAAAATATTATATCATCTCTACTATTATTGTTCCAGGCTAGTTCAGGACTGAAATGAAAAAATTTATTGTGAAAAATGAGGGAAATTTTTTTAGTTAAAACATGTAAAAATTGCTAAGGCCACCAAGGAAAAACTTTATAGCAAAAAAAAATAGATTTTTTTGTTGTTTCACCTACAACTCCTAAACATTCGATAAGAAATTAATTGGAATTAAAATTAAATTTTTGTTCGAATGACTACCTAAAAATAATAATTTGGTTAAGTGGTATGGTAGAAAACAACAATCAACGAATGCTGATTTTTACCAAATTTGTCAAAAACTGAGACAAATGTAAATGGCCCTGCAGCTTGGAAATGAGTTTCCTAAGAGAAAAACTCATAGAATAAAAGTTGTAGAGCATCCAATTCTTTAAAATCATTCATTTAGTACAAACAGTGTTAATGTAGGCTCTCATACTAACTCTGCCAATGTAGTGATTAGAAGAGTTAAAGATTTTATATTTTTTAAATATAAATTTGAGTTTTCTTGGAATATACTCTTTTCCCACATAATAACAAAATGAAATCTCACATGTTATTCATTTTCATGAAAGGTGTTTAACTTCAGGATTAGGAAATAAATAAATTTCAAAAAAACATTAAATGATTTTAAATTTTTTTATTAAATTAAACCAAGGGCAGACTGGATGCACGTGTTGGATGCATTGCATTCAATTGTGTCAACTAAAATTAAAGCGCACAGCAATAAACAAGTAAAAGATCACAAAAGTCATTTTGTAGTGAAGGAACAATTACAATATTTGTTCTTATCAATAATTAATGACACTACATTAGAACAAAAAATAAATACAGGTTTTTTTTTCTATTTTCTTTTTAAAAGTCCATTCGTCTGATACAACTTTTATAAAAACAACATATATCTATATAATATTTACAGTGATTAGGTACCCGATATCCCTTAAATCTAGATTGGTGTAAGCTGAATAAAACTAGAACTACAACTTTTAAACAATATCAGCTCATTATTTGTCAAGTGAGCGATACATCATTATCACAACAAACTTCTTGTTTCTTACTGGGCTAGTGATGGTTCATTGTGATTGACAACTGCACTTATTGCGATTTACAATAAACAAAAACTTATAAAATCTCATTTATCACACAAACTACATATGTTTTACTTATTCTTAAAATTATTTTAAAATTTTGTTCAACAATGTATTTCTTTTGGCAGGTTATTAAAAAAATAAAAACTGAAGCTAACATTTAAATTTTAGTTTAACATATTCAATTCTTTTCATTTTTAAAAAATATATATATATTTTATAATGAATTATTATGAGTTTATAGGAATTAAAAACAAAACATTGAGACTGATTAATTTGTAAACTGTATATATTTTCATTTTTTACAAATGTATTATTCTATAACATTTTTTTTTTGTGTACATTCTATATTCATTTGAAATGATAACCTTAAATAAAGATAACATTCTATAAAGCCACAAAAGGCATTATAAAGCCATTGACTAGCAAATATGTCATATTGACCAACCAGCTTAACAAAATTAAAAAAAAAAAGGTCATAAAAACAAACATTATCAAAATTAATGAAGACATAAGATCACTCTACCAATGTTAAGTATAACTGTAAGTATCAAATTAAGAAAAAAATATTAACGTATGTAATATATTATTATAAAATTATAATTTTTATAATGTGTCTTCTAAATATATAATTTTTAGTTGTTTTTTTTTATCGAAGTGATGATATTGTAATACCTAAATATTCAACATGCTCTTCCGAATACTTTGACAGTTTACATTCTTAGTAAATTAAATGATCGTATTAAGATTAGTAGTTACTTAAATCACAGAGTAATCAGTCAGTCATAATAACAAGTAACTATCATCAATCCCTTATTCGCAATAAACATTTCAAAAACGTATCTAACCCGAGAGGAATTAGGCTTCCGAGAGCACACCAATAATAAAAATCCATTTATTTCCAACTGAAAAAAAAAGCTGATAAATTCTAAATAAGTCTCGATGTTCTGCCAATGGTTCTCACTTTTTTTTTTTTTTTTGTATTTTTAATTTTAACATTAACCACTAATTCAAATATTCTATGCCAGATTTATTTACAAATGGCATTTTAAAATATTTACAAATATTTAAGTTGTTTCAAAATCGATTTAAAATATTACAATACTTTTTTTGTACAAATATAAACAATATATGGTAGTAATTTTTTATTTCTCCATTTTGATTAGGAAAAAAAATAAAAAGAAAATTAAGCATTAAAAAGAGGACATAGCTCGCGTTTTCTGACAAAACACCTTAAAGGCTAAGTTATTTTACAAAAGTTTTTATTGTTGAATCATTCAACCTAGGTTTAGGGATTGACCCTTTAAAAACACGCGAGTTCTGGAGTTCCTATGGGACTGAAAGTCCATGAAGTTGACTAGGCAATTCTATGATACACCCCTACACAATATATAAACCTTACTTAATTGATAGAAGATGGAAAAAAAAAAGAAAACAAAATATTTTTAAAATTAAATAAGAAACTCTTTGGAAATACTTTTTCTTTAGCCGAAAAATAATTTTGAATTTAGATTTTGCTTTTAGTTAACAATAATAAACCAATCGTAATTGCACGTGTCTTCAAAATGCCTAAAACGAGAATTTAGATAAGCAAATTTTTTTTATCAGAATATCCAAAAGGCAGAAACAAAAAAGACAAGAATAGATAAAATACAATACGCAACTAGAAAATGTAACCTATAAGCGTAGCACAGGATAAACAGAGCGGACAGTGAAAGACAGAGAAGAGTATAAAATTGTAAAATTTGTACATATATTTTTGGCTCTTAGGCGACTAACTAGCCAGTTTATTTTTCTAATAAATAACCACAATGCTTATTTACAAAATATACTATTTACAGAGACAAATGTTTGATAAACTAAAAAGACAAAAACAATAAAACTTTCATCAGGACTTGATACAGACTCTATTATTATTGATGAATTGTAAAAAAATAATTTTGGCAAAATATTTCCTCTAAGCTATGAATGGTCAAAAAATAATACTATACTTTTTAATTTTAGGTTTCCCAAAAGTCAAATATAAATCTAAAATTAAAAAAAAAAAACAAAGTTGCTTGGTGAGATCTAATGTTATTCTTCTCTGAAATCTAAATACAATTATATTGCAATATATTTATAAATATATTATTTAAATTTGATACACAAAAACACAAGAGATCTTTCATGTGCATATTATTTTCAATTTGTTACATACATACATTATACACAATACTTCTACTATACAACAAAGTCTGCGAAAGCTGATCGAATCGCAGCCAGTTCTAAAATACAGGAGAATTTTTCCGATTCTCGTTTCAAAAAAAGAGCCGTAAGCCCTTCCAATTAAGCAAAATAGAACATTCCTCAGCTCCCTTAGATCAAACCTCCAAGAGAATTAGGGAGGCAAAACAGAAGTCCCCGGAAAACTTAGAGAGTCGAGTATTTACAAAGAAATACTTGGCGATTGAATTCCTTAAAAGCCAAATCCTGGCATCCATTGGAATCGCTCAACAAAGTCAAATCTTCAAGCCGTTTTACTTCAAGGCTGGTTTAAGTGTCCCTCTCCTTTTTTGGTTTGAATTCTTCTCCTAAGATGGTTGCTATTTCACCTTGCATAAATGCCCATGGGACATTCGAGTTAGCAAGAGGGCATTTCTCACCGCTTGGACAATACACCTGAAAAGAAAAAGAAAAAAATGATTAGTTAAAACATATTTCATGGAAAATAACTGTACAAAATATATTAATCACCCTTAGTAATGAATAATAATTAAAACTCGATAGAATTTCTAATACGAACCGTGCAAAATAATTTTATTTGAACCATTTTGTCATCAGACTCACTAATGTAATATAAAAAATAGTTGGTTGGTGATGCTGTCAGAAGTGGAAGCACACAAAAATAAAATTCTTAAACAAAAATAAAATAGAAAATGTGTTTTGTATATTTTCACTTCGGATTGCATCCTGAAACCAACTTCTAATGATTGGTCGAGTCGACTATATCTTTATCAATATAAAAAATATATTTTTTAACCAATATAAAAATATATTGCTTGCCTGCTGGTTTAATAAATCGATTTATAAGTGCATCATTTTGATATTAAATTTTAATTATATTGCAAAATATATAAAACTTTAAACTAATAAATAGTTGTTTATTGGGGGTAATAAATAGTCAGAACACAGTCATTACAAAATTATTTTATTTGTGCCAACGTTTCAACTCAAACATGTGGTTTGTTTATTGGGGTTATTTAAGACTCTTGTAATGTTTATAAAACATATTCTAACCAGGAAGGAAATGAAAATTATTTAATTGGCTATAAGAATAAGAAAGAATCAGACAGACTGGGTTACTATTTAACCAGTTGTGAAATAATTTATTCAACCATCGATAGCTCTCATGAATTGTTTCTTTTAATTTTATTACAATTAATTTTGAATAGTATTGCTATAATTGAAAACTATATAGAGAATCCACTGCTAACTAGATCTTTTTCAAAACACGGCTAGAATGAGTTTGGCACATCATGTATAAATATATATATATTACCATTTTATTAGAGAAGAATTTTGGATTGGATAATGAAAGGTGAAGAAAATTTATTTAAGTGCAATGACATGTACACTAAAATATGCCATTATGAAATAGATGATGAAATGATCATCCCTCATGGCTGCTAATACTTTTATTTTAAGACTTATCCATGATGAATTAGACATATAATAATTTTTTCCTAGAGATAGAGATATAGTAGACTGTTAAAATTATGAGGATGACAAATAATAAGGATATTCAGTCATTTATGATGTTTATTACATTAACCGATTTTTTGACCCCACATACTTCGGTCAAAACATCAGCAAACCTAATAAACACCATGATTACATGTCCTTTTTATATGTCATCCTGCTTATTAATTTTTTTTAGTCCTTAATCAGAAAAAAATTCATTTAATTACTTAATAAATAATACACTAGATAAATACCAAAGACTAAAAGAATATAGAAATTAACAATACCTCTGATCCAGCTCCTTGGCGCTTGATGCTATCCCTGGAACAAGGGAAACAAAATTTGTGGTGAGGAACTGAAGGGCATTGAACAAAGTGTGTGTCTTCAAGTCTTTCTTGACAGATGGTACATTTTAGAGTGGCAGTAGCTTGCGCAGGTGGTGCAGATTCCTCAGCCGTGCCACTACCTGTACTTCCTGCTCCTGCTTCGCTTGAAGTGACGGTAGTAGACGAGACGTGGCGACTACCAGATGAGCGCCTACCACTTCCAGACGTAGAACCACCACCTAAAATTGATATAGATTACTTCATTTATACAAAATAACATTACTAATTCTTTGATTAACATTCAATTTATTCAATAAAATTGAATTTGATAATGCTGAAAATAATTACCTGAGGAATTAGGAGAATGCTGAGAGCCCCTTGAAGCAGATCGTGGAGCAGGGGGTTGCTGAGCCGGTGGGGCAGTTGGTGGGGACCCTCCAGCACTCCTAGGTGATCCAGGGGGTAAGTTGTCCGCAACAGACATAAGGGCAGCCATAGGACTCTGCCCTTGGGCACCACCCTCAGGGGGTGATCCTGTCCTAGCGCCCAAAGGTGAAGCGCTACCACCGCCACTTCCTCCACCTCCTCCAGAGGCACTATTTCCATTGGTGATTTGGTTTGGGTAACCTGAGAAAAATAAATAAATTATAAAATATAACAATGGAATACAAGAACATTTTTAAAAACAACAACATAAAACTACTACAATTTCAATGCAAGATAACTTTATATTTTAAAATATGTCGCTGGTATGTTAATATTTTTAGTTGGTTATGGTTGGCAGACATCCTACTTTAGTTAGAAGTACTACTTTACATTTCAAATTATTTTAATCTAGATTTCAGAATGAGCGTTTCCGATAGTTTAGTTTCTTACAAGACTTACATTTGTAGAACAATTCTTTTCAGTTAGTAAAAAAAAAATTATAAATATTATTAATGATCTATAAATAATATTATATCTTTTTTTAATTACAGATGCAATGTGTTACAATTTTTTTGACTGAAAAATGCCCAGTCACCCTTAGCCAATTTAGAGCAGTTCTATTTTTAAATTAGAAAAAAAATTCCCTAATGTAAGAAGGCTAACTGTTGTTCCTCATCTTAAGATTTCAAAATAAAATTTAAACAAGCAGTTACTCAGCGATCCTTGAGAGAATGAAAGAGCTCAATTCTATATATATCCACAACCATAATAGGAAATTTTGTGCACTACAAAGTTTAAAACTTATGTCAACCATTTCTGTATTTTGATTATGAATAATGAGATGAAAAATTCATTATTTGAAAAGTGATTAATAGGGTAAATAAAACCCCCCCCTTACCAAGAAAAAGATATATGAAAATATAACATAAATTTATAATTATTTTACCAGTTAGACGATTAAAAATAATAATCATAATAATAGACTAACATTAAACCCAATTTTTTTTCCAAACTTAGCATTTGGGTAATAGTCAACTATCGATTATCGACTATAGAATAATCGATAGTTGATACGCGGTTCACTGGAAATATCAATTATCAAGTCTCCATATTCTTTTTCATATCTAACAGTGTCGTAAAGTGTTTAAATAGTCTTAGAACATTTTTATTAACATTTCTTTCTTTCTATTAAGAAAATTATTGGTGTGAAGCGTTAAACATTAATAAGAGGTAAGTGAAAAGTTTAAAATCAAAAAGAATTGGGATGTATTTATTTCTTTACCAAATTGTCGGTTTATTGAAAAAAAAATCACCAAGAACTTTTTATTTTTATAGATATAAACTTTAAAGAACGTTTCTCATGAATTTCAACCTTATTTATTTATAAAATATAAAATAAATGAAGTGTTACAATTAATACACAATTTTCTTATTTCAAAAATAAAAAATTCATTTATATTTATGTTTTAAGTTCATGGAAACGTCACTTAATGACTATTTTCAATAGACTGATGAAATATATCGTAATTTTTTAATTTATTTAAATGAATGGATATTTTTTTACTATTGAAATTGTGAAAGTTTTTATTAACTATTAAAATAGTGATAATTTATTCTAATTATTAAAATGATTAGAAAATGTTGTTCTTATGTTTGTTTTTTTTCTTTTTTTGTGTTTTATAAATTGATTTTTTTAATTATTAAAGCCTTAACCACAAGTATCATGCTCAATTTCATAAATGCTTAAAACTTTATTGTGTATGTTCGAACGTTTTTTTTTCATTTGATAAGCCCAAAACTATTTTAAGTGGTTTGTAAGCTCCATAAAAGTGTGTTCAGACATTTCACTAACTATCGAAAAATCAATCATCTAGCTTAATAAATAGCGAAATTATTATTATTATTATTTCAAATTAGTAAAATTTATTTTAAATACTAACGTAAAAGTTCATAAATTTAGTAATAGTTCACAAGAGTTCCGCACGGATTACGCATGGTTCAGAATCACTTCGGTCACACTTGTTCATGGAGTGCCGAATGCGTTCGGGTTTATCCGAAAGAGAACGAAGGCGGCCGATCTCTTCAGTCAGTAACTATTAACTATTTATATAAATTTTAAGTTAACAGTAAACTAACTGACAGATCTACGAGTCTCGTTGGGATTGGACATTTTTGGAATAAATATTTATTTATATAACGATTGATAAGATACATTTTATTTAATAATACTATACACTTTTCTCGCGCAATCATTAATCTGACATTATTTTCATAAACAACGTCCTTGACAACTTAATAGTATAGTAAAATATACAAAAAAAAGAATAAAAAAATCGATAAACAATTTTAAATCCGATAGTATATTCATATAAAGCACCGACTAGAAAATAGTAGATCTGTATAACTAAGAACAGGCCTTGAAGAAACGACTCAAACAATATTTTATATATTTTCTTCTTTTTCTTTCACAGTAATAACCGTTATAATAAAAATTAATAATTAACAAATTAGTAAATACACAATTCGTTGATAAATTGTTAATAAGGAAGTTCCATGAAGAGAATACGTTTTTTTTTGTTTGTTTTTTTAAAGTGCATGAAAAATGATTTTGTGATGGGGCAATAGCTGACGTCATAAAATACGACAACATTCGGCTGTTTTCGGGATTCCATGAACAAGTATGATCTAAGTGATTGTGAACCACGCTTAATCCGTGCGGAACTCTTGTGAACTAGTACCGAAAAATCGATTGCTTAATTTTTTTTTAATTAACGATTTATTCATTTAATAGACATAGAATAATATAAAGTAAGAAAGGAAAATATTAATAAATATATATTTATTTAAAAATAAATAAGATAGATAGAGATGAGCGGAACAAGTAATGGGAGCAGTGTGTTGTGGGAGCGGATGAATAGGCTGACGTCAGAGGGAATGCAGGCCGCAGGGTGAATGCCGTAACGCCACGTCACGGGCGGAGTTGCCGGATCTACGCGCAGGCGCCCACGTCACCCAGTCACTCCCGCTGACGTCAGCCGCCGTCTCCAACATTGACCGAGCTTCGGCCTCTGTATTGTTGTTTATCTATTAGTCATACCGCATGTACCAGAGCAATATCCGAAGGAAAAACAAAACAAAAAAATAAAATAAATAAATAAACGCCGTCAGAAAAATGGTAATTATTACTCAAGATTATTTTTAATCGTGCATATTTACAGGTGAATTGTACAAATAGAATACACACACTTACAAGGTTAGGATTACAATTCAATGGCACAGACCTCTTTTTATCAATTATTAATATCCGCCTATAACTAAACTTCTTCTTATCATAACCTATACATTTTTTATGATCGAAAATTATTATCGTTTGGAATCGGGGCGTTTTGTTTATTTGTAGATCGCCAAACTATTTTTATTTAATACATTAATAAAAACTCATAAGCACACATTTTTCCCCCACTTGAATCGTAAGATAGTTTGCTCAAGAAATCGAGAATACATGTGGCCTACATAAAGATTGTGCCGTTTAACGTGACCTACACCACCACGATTTCAAAATAACGAAATTAAATAGAGCCAAACGGAACAATATTTTGTAGGGCGCCTTTTTTTATTATTTTACTTTTATTTGTACTATTTTAAAGAAGAGAGTAATAAAATAAATTTTCCAAAAAGAGGGGATGGGTCCGATTCAATAAATAACTTTAATTTTCGTCTACAGACAAAAAATTTATTGCTGCTTAAAAACCAGTATTAATGAAAGTAAAATTATAAAATTTTTAGTTTTTCACTTGTTTCTTAATTTTAAAATTTGCCGATTAAAATACCGAACAAAAAGTAAGGACACAGAATAATTAATGAAAAAAATGTCGAAACTAATAAAAACATTTTTCTGTATTAGAAATTTAGAATTGAAATTTTTGCATGATTCAACGAATAGAACCGATATTAAAAAACTTATTTAGTCAGACCTATTTTAAGTCAAATATATGAGTCGTCATGAGGGCTAAAATTGAATTAAATCTTATATTCCTGATTTAATTCTAATTTCAGCTTTAATTATGATTCACAAGTTTGAGTAGAAATATATGAAACCAAAATATCCATATTTTGATTGAAAATTCTGATTATTTATCTTTCAAAATTTTCATAGAAAATTGAAAAAATCTGTAATTAAAATAGAAAAAAAAAAAATTAGTTGAGGTTAAAAAAAATCACTTATCCTCCTATTAAAAACAATATGGCTGCTTTAAAAAACGGATCCTTTAAACATTTTTTCTAGTTAAATTTCAGTGGCATTGAAGCTTCAATATATTCAAACATAATTTAAACTACTTTTAACTTGATGAGTTTTAGTTATAAGCCTTAGAATTATACAAATTAAAAATAAGAAAAGAGCAAAAACTCTCAAATAACTGATGTTTACAAACATAATGTTGGAACACAGCTGTTAAATCCAAAGAATATAAATTGGCATAAAACGGTATCTAATTTTACCTACAGTTGTAGTTCATCCATTTAAATTAATAAACACAAGAACAAAAGGCTGGGATGAATTTACAACATCGCAAATCGGTTATTTAGAAGTATTTTTAGATGTTCGACTTATTAAAGTCAAGAGTTAAATAGAAAGCAATAATACATACCGTTATACATAACTTGTTCGGGATAGTATTCATAATAACTATAATTTTCCTAGTGAATAAATAAGCAAAGATAAATTTTAATTATCTTTGCGTGTCTTTTAACATGGAGTTGTAGTTTTGAAGCTGGTGGGGATTCGTTACCGAACGATAAAGAAGCAAATATGGAAATGGTCGGGTAAAATCGGCTGGAGTCGACTATTGAAATGTTTTTGCATATAGATTAAAACATTTCAAAAACTAAAAATCAGAACTGCATACTGTAAGCGAAGAATTATTCAGCATTTCATTCTCTCTATAATAGGCTAGTATTCAAAATTATATCTTAACGCGACGCTGTGTTAGAGAAGCGAAATGGAAAAAATATCTCAGAAACTAAAAATCGGACCTGCATACTGTAAGCGAGGGAAATGTTGAGCATTTTATACTCTTTATAATGAGCTATTTATTTATAATTAATATTTCATATAATTTTTTTATTTAGAAATATAATAATCTGTAACGTGGACAATAATTATAGTGAGATATGAACACATTCACACTATGTATACAGAA